CTCACAATGTATTTTTGGTAAATGTGGAGGGGGAAAACCGGAGGATCCAGGGAAAAATCTACGCGACCACGGGGAGAGAGAGAGACACACAAACTCCAAATATACAGCAGCAGCAGGCGTCAGGGTCGGGATCGAACCGACGACCTCCTGTATACCAGGCGAGGTAGTCAACATCTGGCAACCGACATGAAATTCCTCAGGGTTGTACGTATGTATGTTGAACTTCTTTCGCACCGTACGTAGCCAACCGTGCTAATCGGTGGTGCGGTTCGTGAAAAAACTCACCGCCCGCTGTCAACTGACCTTAACCCCCCACTACTACCTCTGGACGTTTACCGGCGCATTGGGATCTACGTATGATGCAATTACGCCTTTACAGATGAAAATTATCATCACTGTTATCTACCACAGCAGTTGAATTAAGCCCGTGAAAACCGCGCTTTGCGCGATGCCCGTTCCTCGTGCGGCGACGAAGGGCAAAGTGCCACCAAATCCTTTGCGACACCTCCCGTGAGCCCGCAAGTTAAAAAAAAGAGTCGGGGGTTGGAGTGGTGGGGGGGGGGGGGCATCTCGCGGGTCGCCTCCACGCTCCAGCGAGGGCTTCTCTCGCGAGCCTGGACCGCTGCTGACTCCACAGCAGCGCCGAGGATCGCGACGGCGCTTGCCGTTCGCCCAGTGAGGTCGGCATGCGGTGGCTGCTCGACTGTGTATTGGGCTGGGGCATGCGCGGGTGTCTTCGTCGTTGTTGTTGCTGCTGCTGCTGCTGTCTGTGTGTGGGTCACTGTGTAGCGGTTAGCGCTACGCTGCGCTACGAACCTGGCGACCCGGGTTCGATTCCCGCTCACGGCCAACACCCAGTGACGATTATCTGAACCGGTCCTGGGCCTTCTCCCCTAGGTCGACTCAGCCTGAAATGAGTACCTGCTGCCGTGTGTAAACATCGCCACTGGGGAGACAAAGGCGGTCGGGCGTGGTTGTTGTCCACCCACCCCCCTCGTGTGCCGTGCCGGCCTTCATAGGTGCTCGCTAACAGCACTTGCCCCTACAGTCTGTTACAGGCTCTATCGGGGGATCTTATTTCTATTGTCACTGGGTTACATGAAACTGGTAGAGGCCACGCAAAATCAGAACCAGAATATTTACTTATAAAGGGTTAATCCGATTACCTACGAAGCTATATTTTCACGGATGCGTGAGGCACAGCACCAGAACCTCCCTTAGACAGAATGGGAATGTTTATTTCCACTGGAAGAAGCCGATGAGCTATGAAACTCTTGTTGCACAGATGTCCATTCGGAGCGGCTCAGAAAGTTACAAAAGCAAAAGAACACAAAAAAACACGATATCGGGAGTGCAAGTATAGGAAAGCTGAGCGAGTCACTAAATATACAGTTAGGGAAAAAAGTATTTGATCCCCTGCTGATTTTGTACGTTTGCCCACTGACGAAGAAATGATCAGTCTATAATTTTAATGGTAGGTTTATTTGAGCAGTGAGAGACAGGATAACAACAAAAAAATCCAAAAAAACGCATGTCAAAAATGTTATACATTGATTTGCATTTTAATGAGGGAAATAAGTATTTGACCCCTCTGCAAAACATGACTTAGTACTTGGTGGCAAACCCCTTGTTGGCAATCACAGAGGTCAGACGTTTCTTGAAGTTGGCCACCAGGTTTGCACACATCTCAGGAGGGATTTTGTCCCACTCCTCTTTGCAGATCTTCTCCAAGTCATTAAGGTTTCGAGGCTGACGTTTAGCAACTCGAATCTTCAGCTCCCTCCACAGATTTTCTATGGGATTAAGGTCTGGAGACTGGCTAGGCCACTCCAGGACCTTAATGTGCTTCTTCTTGAGCCACTCCTTTGTTGCCTTGGCCGTGTGTTTTGGGTCATTGTCATGCTGGAATAACCATCCACGACCCATTTTCAATGCCCTGGCTGAGGGAAGGAGGTTCTCACCCAAGATTTGACGATACATGGCCCCGTCCATCGTCCCTTTGATGCGGTGAAGTTGTCCTGTCCCCTTAGCAGAAAAACACCCCCAAAGCATAGTTTCCACCTCCATGTTTGACGGTGGGGATGGTGTTCTTGGGGTCATAGGCAGCATTCTTCCTCCTCCAAACACGGCGAGATGAGTTGATGCCAAAGAGCTCCATTTTGGTCTCATCTGACCACAACACTTTCACCCAGTTGTCCTCTGAATCATTCAGATGTTCATTGGCAAACTTCAGACGGGCATGTATATGTGCTTTCTTGAGCAGAGGGACCTTGCGGGCGCTGCAGGATTTCAGTCCTTCACGGCGTAGTGTGTTACCAATTGTTTTCTTGGTGACTATGGTTCCAGCTGCCTTGAGATCATTGACAAGATCCTCCCGTGTAGTTTTGGGCTGATTCCTCACCGTTCTCATGATCATTGCAACTCCACGAGGTAAGATCTTGCATGGAGCCCCAGGCCGAGGGAGTTTGACAGTTCTTTTGTGTTTCTTCCATTTGCGAATAATCGCACCAACTGTTGTCACCTTCTCACCAAGCTGCTTGGCAATGGTCTTGTAGGCCATTCCAGCCTTATGTAGGTCTACAATCTTGTCCCTGACATCCTTGGAGAGCTCTTTGGTCTTGGCCATGGTGGAGAGTTTGGAATCTGATTGATTGCTTCTGTGGACAGGTGTCTTTTATACAGGTAACAAGCTGAGATTAGGAGCACTCCCTTTAAGAGTGTGCTCCTAATCTCAGCTCGTTACCTGTATAAAAGACACCTGGGAGCCAGAAATCTTTCTTATTGAGAGGGGGTCAAATACTTTTTTCCCTCGTTAAAATGCAAATCAATTTCTAACATTTTTGACATGCGTTTTTCTGGATTTTTTGGATTTTCTTGTTATTCTGTCTCTCACTGTTCAAATAAACCTACCATTAAAATTATAGACTGATCATTTCTTTGTCAGTGGGCAAACATACAAAATCAGCAGGGGATCAAATACTTTTTTCCCTCACAGTATATATAGAAATAAAGGAAAGCACGTAAGTACAAAATGTGTAAAGTATATTAATCCCTGGTGAGAAGTAGTATATGCATGATCCCGAAAGGGACTAACTTAATATTCCTTTCCAGGGCTTCTCACCTCCGTTCGAGGTTTTTCGCCTCCATTCCAGAGTTTCTCACCTCCGTTCCAGGGTTTCTTACCTCCATTCCAGGGTTTCTGACCTCCGTTCCAGGTTTTTCGCCTCCATTCCAGGGTTTCTCGCCTCCGTTCCAGCGTTTTAACGCCTCCGTTCCAGGGTTTCTCATCTCCGTTCCAGGGTTTCTCACCTCCGTTGCAGAGTTTCTCACCTCCGATTCAAGGTTTCTTACCTCCATTCCAGGTTTTTTTGCCTCCGTTCCAGGGTTTCTCACCTCCGTTCCAAGGTTTCTCGCCACCGTTCCAGGGTTTCTCACCTCCGTTCCAGGGTTTTTTACCTCCGTTCCAGGGTTTCTCGCCACCGTTCTAGGGTTTCTCGCCTCTGTTACAGGGTTTTTCGCCTCCGTTCCAAGGTTTCTAACCTCCGTTCCAGGGTTTCTCGCCACCGTTCCAGGGTTTCTCGCCACCGTTCCAGGGTTTCTCGCCACCGTTCCAGGGTTTCTCACCACCGTTCCAGGGTTTCTCACCTCCGTTCCAGGGTTTCTCGCCACCGTTCCAGGGTTTCTCGCCTCCGTTCCAGGGTTTCTCACCTCCGTTCCAGGGTTTCTCGTCTCCGTTCCAGGTTTTTCGCCTCCGTTCCAGGGTTTCTCACCTCCGTTCCAGGGTTTCTCACCTCCGTTCCAGGGTTTCTCGCCTCCGTTCCAGGGTTCCTCACCTCCGTTCCAGGGTTTCTCACCTCCGTTCCAGGGCTTCTCACCTCCGTTCGTGGTTTCTCACCTCCGTTCCAGGGTTTCTCACCTCCGTTCCAGGGTTTCTCACCTCCGTTCCAGGGTTTCTCACCTCCGTTCCAGGGTTTCTCGCCTCCTTTCCAGGGTTTCTTAGCTCTGTTCCAGGGTTTCTCACCTCCGTTCCAGGGTTTCTCACCTCCGTTCCAGGGTTTCTCACCTCCGTTCCAGGGTTTCTCACCTCCGTTCCAGGGTTTCTCGCCTCCGTTCCAGGGTTTCTTAGCTCTGTTCCAGGGTTTCTCACCTCCGTTCCAGGGTTTCTCACCTCCGTTCCAGGGTTTCTCGCCTCTGTTCCAGGGTTTCTCGCCTCCGTTCCAGGGTTTCTCGCCTCCGTTCCAGGGTTTCTCGTCTCCATTCCAGGATTTCTCGCCTCCGTTCCAGGGTTTCTCTCCTCCGTTCCAGGGTTTCTCGCCTCCGTTCCAGGGTTTCTCGCCTCCGTTCCAGGGTTTCTCGCCTCCGTTCCAGGGTTTCTCTCCTCCGTTCCAGGGTTTCTCACCTCCGTTCCAGGGTTTCTCACCTGCGTTCCAGGGTTCCTCCCCTCGATTCCAGGGTTTCTCACCTCCGTTCCAGGGTTTCTCGCCTCCGTTCCAGGGTTTCTCGTCTTCATTCCAGGATTTCTCGCCTCCGTTCCAGGGTTTCTCACCCCCCCCCCCGTAGCTAATTGTTGCCCCATGACTCCCATTATGATTCAGCTCCCCCCCCACCCCCCCAAAGAGTGATATGAGGAGCAGTCGGGCACTGTTCGTCTGTGACTTAAAAGAGTCGACCCCAACTCTTAAGTCGGGGTCGACTTAAGAGTGCCCGCACCCCGAGTGAAGGAGAGCCATCGCTCAAGGAAGAGGTCCCTCCCGTGGAGATCCTTTCCGTCAGCAGTGGCAATAAATTGCAGCGTGGGCTTTGATGGACGCGAGCCGAGTTCCCTATCACCAGGTCAAGCCAACAATGGATACTTGCTCGATGCAGTTGATATTCATTTAGAACGTGGAACGTGCTCAGCGTGTTTGTTGTTGTGTTTGTTGTTGTTTTTGGTGTTCTTTTTGTTATTGCTGTTGTTTTGGTTGTTATTGTTTTTATTGTTGTTGTTGTTCACTCTGTAGAGAGAGGGAACGGATTCAAGAGGCGTGGGAATCCACAGACAAGCGGCAGGGTAGATCAGAGCTGGCTGCCAACAATCGGCCGACCTCGGGTGGTTCCGATATTTCAACGTTTGGCCAACTGCACGTCGTGAGCTGTTTATTTAGCACACGTGGGAGGGAACCCGGTGTCGTCGTCGTCGTTGTCATCATCACCACGCTCCACGTGGGGCAGACAGCCCGTTGGTGTGTCCACCGCACATCTTGTCATTTGTTGTTTCCAATTTCCCCCTCCTGTCTTGTGCCAACCTGCTCAAGCAGCGGCGACATTTTCCGGCACCAAAATCTCTTACGGTATCGTCGTCACGGGCATTGGATTCCTTTCGTCCATTTGTTTTGTTTTTTTCCCACGTCCGACGTGATCAGCAACCCCTTTCGCCTCGAGCCTCCTCAATTTATAATCCAGGCCCCGGGGGACTGGCTCAGATATCCACTGCATTGTGGACCCCCCCACCCCCCCCCCCCCCCTAGGCAGAGTACCACAGAGCAAACCCACACGTGCAAGGGAGCTAGCACTCAGAATCCGAATGTTTTTTTTTTATACTGGAGGTATCCGATGAGCTATAAAGCTCTTTTTCGCAGATGTCCAGTAGGGTCGGGTCAGAACGTTACAAAGGCAAACAGCACAGGTAAAACCCACTTGGGCTATTTGCTTCTCTTTCAGAAGCGACCTGGCCGCAAATGATAGCTCAGCGAAGTGGCTTATCACGTGGACATTGACGGCAGCCAAATACTCTAAGAAAAATGTCCACGTGCTGTAACTTGTCATCATGTACGCTGATGAGCTCGACACTCACGGGTACGGGGGGAGTTTCACGAACCTCGCGTGATCCACCAACCCTTGTTCATACAACAGCAGATGCCACCAAACGCCTGGTATATTCTTACATAATTATATACATACTTACATGTGAATATCCACAATCATGTCACTCCTCATATCACTCTTTGGGGGGAGGGGGGGGCCTGAATCACAAGGGGAGTCACGGGGCAACAATTACCCATGGAGGGGTGGGGGGGGGAGGTCAAAGGGTCATGTACGAGGGGCGAAGCCACGTGGTGGACTGGCTCGGACTTCGTGTGCCTGTTGACAACAACAGTCGGTCATCTCGAGGTTAGCTGCAATACAACGATACAATCGATATATCGTACGACGTAATGGTCCACGATAATCGATATATTGTACAACAAAATGGTCCACGATAATCAATATATCGTACGGCGTAAGGGTCCACGATAATCGTATCGGCTGCTTCGCAATACATGCCTTCGTTGTCACCGTCGTGGCTCACGTGATTGCATTATTTCCTGACAATATATTTGCAGAATAACAGAAGCACAATTGATGAGGTTCAGCCCGGTCATCCCACATTAACATAAGCTGCCCCGCCCATGCTGCTGACACACTTAGGCTACGCCCATCTTTAAACCTTTATAAACAGTATGCCTTTAGAGGCTAATCCCCTTTTCCTGATGACGACCGCTAGTGTTGCAATCGAAATGTCGTGGTTTTTGTTTTTTATTTTCATTTTTTATTATATCTATGTGACTTTACCGAAATAACCAAGAATATGTGTCGCAAACCTCCAACGCCCGACACGGCCAATCAGTAAAAAATGTGTCACGTTAACAAAACGCCAATTAGTTACTTCTTCAGCCCACCGGTGTGTTTGAAAAGTGAATCCACAACATTTAGAATTTGAGTATGACGTTTGCTGGTAATTACATCCAGCATCTTCGGGCGATTTGCCAGAATAGTGAAGTCATCCACTTGCTTTCGGGTCTTAAATACTATCACGTTAAATTTAGTTTTGCATTTATTGTACTTTTTCTCAATTCCAGCTCTGAGAATATATATTTTTTAATGTATGCGTGACTGTCACCGCACGAATGGTGCTATAATTGGGGTCAGGTCAGGATAAAAAAAAGATTTGTTAAACGAGCGAACAAGCACCGAGTGGAGTGTTCTTGGAGAGCCACAGCCATCTCTCGGGGTGCTGCGATTGTAACAATGCGCGTAATGCGTGCGCGTGAGCAGATGTCATCACTCTGTTTCTAAAAACTGACCACCACTGCCCCCCCCGACCCCCCTGACCCCCCCCCCTTCCCCACGAACACGCGTGTAGTTGTAACACAGACGTCAACGACGGGAGACGAGGCGACAGGCTGCGACGTCTATTGGCGGATAATGCCATTTGTATCGAGATCAAGTTGAACGAGGAGAGTTCAATTGTCACGATGGCATTTCGGCGATGGCGAATCGGAGAACGCGTCGATCAGATAACCCCCGCTCCGTTCAAGCGACTTTCCCCTCGAGCGATCTGCATATGCATTCCTGTAGCCCTCTCTCCTATGACCTTGAGTTTACAGGAAGTGCGAGATAGCGATTGACCCCTGCACCATCACTCGACTGAGTGCACACCCTGCGGGCGCGTTACCGTCTCCGATTCATGCGACTGCGGTTTGTTTGAATGTTTCCTGGCTGCCGAGGCCCAGCCTGTTTTAATATAGCGCAGTTGTCTCCTTTGGGTGACGTCACGCACCTGGGGGGGGAGGGGGGGGGTCAGACATTTGTGACGATGTGTGACGAGGGGGGGGGGTTGACCAGTAAGGTCTGAGTTGGTCTGTAATAAGGGGTTGAGAGGTGTGGAATCTACCTGAGAATTGGCGGGGCTTCCTGAGTATTGGGCGGGGTTAAACTAAAACACGATTAAACTATTTTTATTTTACCAAGTAAGGCCCCACTGAGCTATGTAGCTACTTTTAAGAAGCGACCTGGCCACAAATGATAGCCCAACGAATTGGCTTATCGTCATCGTGTGGAAATTTATAGCAGCTAAATATTCTAAATGCACGTTTATTCTAAATGAGGGAAAAACTGGAGGACCCGGAGAAATATCCACGCGACCACGGGGAGGAAGAAAATGCAAACTCCAAATATACAGCACGTGTCAGGGTCGGGATCGGGATCGAACCCACGATCTCCTGTAAACACATTCTCCTGCGGAGGGAGCTGGTAGGAACGTTGGGTTGCTCAGTCAATGGCCAGGGTCAACGGCGGCCTGGTGTATTCCGCAAATATTCCCGACTGTGAAGGCGGGCACAAGCCGGTGTGAGTAGGTTAAACGTTGAGTTTTATAAGGGCACCACGGGGTGACCAGCTCCTCCCCACCCAGCCCCACCCCTCCCACCCCCCACCCAGCCCCTCCCCACCCTCCCCTCCCCACCCTCCCCACCCAGCTCCTCCCTCCTCACCCAGCCCCTCCCCAGCCTCCCCTCTCCACCCAGCCCCACCCCTCCCATTTTTGGATGCACGACGGACGGACACAATAACCCCCTGTGGGCTGGTGGTGTAACCAGGAGGTTCCTACCAGTATAACATCTCCTAGCCAATCCATCGTACAAGCGCCACGGTGATCTTAGCTGGAGCATTGCCCATGGGGCTGTGACCACGAACACATTTCTGTCACTTTTCACAGAGACAAATCCAGAATGCGTATTCCGTGGTGAGCTCGAAACAGTGGCGCATCAATACGTACACTGAAAAAGCCTAGACTCACTCTATAAGCTGTTACGAAATATTCTACTGAAATTTAATCTTCATTTCTCCCCCACAATTCTTATTTTTTTTTATTTAGGGGGAACGAGGGTACCAAATATATAGAGGGGTTGACAAACTTCATCATGAACAGTGCCAAACTGGCTATCTATAGGGCCAGAAAATGCGCAATTGAAGGAAGCGGCTTATCCAGCCACTGTCGCATTTTCAAGGCCCTGGTTTCTGACAGAATTTGGCTGGAATTTTGGTACGATCAGTTGACGGGGGGGTGTCGCGTCTTTCTCGACCCGTTGGACTACCGAGGGTGCTTTGTGTAATGTGATGGAAGCAGGGGATCTGGTGATGGTTTTTTGAGGGTGAAAATTTCTTGTTGGTGTCTATGAACACAGTAGCACACAATGGGATTTATATTACACGCGAAACCACGTGATATCTGTGATTTTAAAAAGGGGCACAAAAGCAAACAGAAAAACCGACGATGATGAATGAAGCAAAGTGCCGAAAAACCGAGCGTCTTTCTGCTTCTTCTGATCTATGTGGCTCTTTTTAAGAGGTGACCTAGCCATCACAAATGATAGCTCAACGAAGTGGCTTATATCATCATTGTGTGGAAATTTACTTAAGCAGCTATATACTCTTAAACGCGTGTTGTCGATTCTAAATATGGGGGGGGGGGGGGGAACCGCGACCCGGAGAAAATCCACACGGCCACCACGGAGAGAGAGACGCAAACTCCAAACATACAGCAGACATTGTCAGGGGTTGGGATGGCGATACGGAGATTTTTGTCTCGGGACATGTAAATAAAATAGCGCCACTCTTAGAAATAGAATGAGCTGCTCCTTGCAGTCTTTAGATGTAACAAGGCTTTGCTGGATGAACAATAGTGCGCGGTAGAAATTGCGTTTATTGTCATACTTTAGTCAATAAAGGGTGTTTAATTTTTGTTACATGGCGATACAGCATGGAAGGCGATTGTTTTCTTCTTCACGTTTTCACTCCAGCACTAGATAATTACCGACTGGCCCTCTTCTCAGACCGCAAGAGGGTACCGGACTCACAGTATCAGAAGCATGACCCTTGTGACACAATTCTGACAACACCAGGGGCATTCGTGTCCGACTCAATATTGTCCGGGTCTCTGTTAGACTGGGATATAGGAGACACGTATCTGTCGTGGGCACAGTAGGCGAGGGATACTGGATGTGGTGTGCCGAATATGGACATATTTTCCAGGTCGCCGATTCAAGACATACCCAGCCACGGTGGCTAGGAGATGTTAACTACCTCGCCTGGTATGCAGGGGGTCGTGGGTTCGATCCCGACCCTGACGCCTGCTGCTGCATATTTGGAGTTTGCGTGTCTCTCTCTCCCCGTGGTCACGTGGATTTTTCTCCGGGTCCTCTGCTTTTCCCCCTCCACGTTTAGAATCAACAACATCGCCACGCGTTTAGGGCATTTAGCTGCTATATATTTCGACACGATAAGCCAACTTCGTTGAGCTTTCAATTGGTGACAGCCAGCTCGCTTCTGAAAAATATCTAGAAAGCTCAGTCGGCCTTACCTGGTAAAAAGTTTTTTTTAAAAACTAGTTCAATGATATAAAACCCTGGATAGCACTGGCGTGATGCAATCCGTGAAAAAAAATAGCTAACAAAAAATAATCTCAATTTGACATCCCATTATCACGCGCTACGTGTCCTCCCCCCGTTAACCGGTTCGTCGTTTCCGTCTCTGCGCGCGCGTCCTCAGAAGCAAAATCGAATCGGGGGGACCTCCGTTGAGAAGCGGGCACAAATGGCGACGAACGTCGGAGGCTTGGTGGCGGTCATCGTGTTTTACATCGCCATCCTGGCGACGGGCGTGTGGGCATCACGGAAGTCCAAAAAGACGGAGAAGCGATCCAGGGGCACACGGAGCGAGGTGGCCATGGTTGGGGACCGCAACATGAACGTCATCGTCGGGGTCTTCACGACCACAGGTGTGCCGTAAGCAAAGACAAATATTCCCCCCCCCCCCCCCCCCCGTGTGGCCTTGAGCAGACCTTATTGGGGCAATTGCTGTGAGCGGGCAGCACCTGCCAAGGCCCACAAGGGCGCACGAAGGGGATGGGTGGCCAGGTCCAGGGGGTACCGGTCCATCTCCCGGCAGATGATTTTCAGCTTTAACTCTACATTGAGCGTCCGCACATCCCACGTGGCCAGCCACAGTCGTTTTTCTGTTTCTGGAAGAATTCTGACTGGGAGGGGTTCGAACTGGCTCCGCCAAATGGGGCTTTGGCTCGCAGGCGTCATGAACGCCTGTTCTTCCCCTTGGTGCCTCCGGCACAAGCTTAATTGGGTGGTTCCACCGTGGTATTTGGTTGAAAAAAAAAATACTCGCAGACTCACGCCAAAGCCAAAGATCGCCCGTATAGCCTGAAACGACTGTTGGGGCAAGTGCTGTTAGCGAGCAGCACCTATTAAGGCCGCAACGGCGCACGAGGAGGGTGGCGTGGCCAGAACCACGCCCAGCCGCCTTTGTCTCCCCAGGGTTGATGCTTACACACCGCACCAGGTACCCATTTGAGGCTTGAGTCGACCCGGGGGGGGGGGGGGGTAGGATCGGTTTGGATCATCGTGACTGGTTGATGGCCGCGAACGGGAATCAAACTGCGCCACCGCTCTCCATCTACACGCAAACGCACACCACGCACGCACACCACGTACACCACGCACACCACGTACACACACCACGTACACACACACACTACGCACACCACGCACACACACCACGCACACACTTCACGTACACACACACCACGTACACACACACCACGTACACACACACCACGTACACACACACCACGCACACCACGCACATCACGCACACACACCACGCACGCACACCTATGCACGCACACCACGCACACACACATCGCACACACACCACACACACCACGCACACACACCACACACACCACGCACACACACCACGCACACACACCACACACACCACGCACGCACACATCGCACGCACACCACACACACCACCCACGCACGCACACCACACACTCATCGCACAGACGGTACATTGCCGTTTTTAAATTTGTGAGTACACAGCCTTGGTGTCATGTTGTGTGTGTCCCCCCCCCTTCTTATATCTGCAGCCACATGGGTTGGAGGGGCTTACATCAACGGCACGTCGGAGGTCATATATACTCCCGGAATGGGCTTAGCGTGGATGGAGGCTCCCATCGCCAGTGCCGTCAGCCTATTTGTCGGTATGGAACCACGCACTTGCACCAAGGACAAATCTCTACCATTCGTCACAAAAGCAATGGCAAACCTCTCGAAAAATGTCACCTTCATCTGTAAAAAAAAATCCACCTCTGAGAATATAATTTTGGCTGCCTTGCGATGTACGTGTCTCTACTAGTAGGGATCGATGGGATCTCGGCAGTAGTTCTGCGATATCTGCTTCTTCCGCGGGGGCCATTCTCAAACACATGGGAGGGGGTGGGGGGGTGCATGGAATACATTTTTCAGTAAAAAAAACCCACGAGTGAGAGACAACAATCACCGCCGTTAGGAATCGTTACTGTGTCTCGACGAGGCACACTTGAATGCAATACAAAACAACAACACAAACATTTAAATCCGTACGGTAACCTCAAACGATATAATAAGTCATACAGTGAGACCTTTGATTGCGAGCATAATTCGTTTCCGGAAACGTGCTCGTAATCCAAAGCACTCGTATATCAAAGCGAATTTCCCCATAAGGAATTATGGAAACTCAGATGATTCGTTCCACAACCCAAAAATACTGTATTCATATAAACATGATTAATACAAAATACCTTTTTATTTTTTATTATTTAAATTTAATATAAAGTCATCTAATTGATAAATTACATTTAATCGTGGCTAGTGTGAGGGAGACGAGAGAGAGAGGAGAGGAGGAGGGTTATTGTGTAGGACGACTTTCACTTGCAGTACAGTTACTAAAGAACAGTCACTACACTTGGACATAAAATAAAAAAAATGCTTTACGCACACACACATGGTCACAACACTATAGTACTGTAGTAAACTATACACGTGGTCACAACACTATAGTACTGTAGTAAACAGTATACACGTGGTCACAACACTATAGTACTGTAGTAAACAGTATACACGTGGTCACAACACTATAGTACTATAGTAAACAGTACACACGTGGTCACAACACTATAGTACTGTAGTAAACTATACACGTGGTCACAACACTATAGTACTGTAGTAAACAGTACACACGTGGTCACAACACTATAGTACTGTAGTAAACAGTATACACGTGGTCACAACACTATAGTACTGTAGTAAACAGTACACACGTGGTCACAACACTATAGTACTGTAGTAAACAGTATACACGTGGTCACAACACTATAGTACTGTAGTAAACAGTACACACGTCACAACACTATAGTACTGTAGTAAACAGTATACACGTGGTCACAACACTATAGTACTATAGTAAACAGTACACACGTGGTCACAACACTATAGTACTGTAGTAAACAGTGCACACGTGGTCACAATACTATACTGTAGTAAACAGTATACACGTGGTCACAACACTATAGTACTGTAGTAAACAGTATACACGTGGTCACAACACTATAGTACTATAGTAAACAGTACACACGTGGTCACAACACTACAGTACTGTAGTAAACAGTATACACGTGGTCACAACACTATAGTACTATAGTAAACAGTACACACGTGGTCACAACACTATACTGTAGTAAACACCGACTGAGACCGACCCACAATCCCGCAGCGAGAGAGAAGAACCATTGTCTCAGTTGTGATCACGTGACGCTCGGCAGACAAAGCGATTACCCACAATCCCGCAGCGAGAGAGAGAGAAGAACCATTGTCTCAGTTGTGATCACGTGACGCTCGGCATACAAAGCTTATAGTCTACGTACTGCTCGTATTGCAAGACATCGCTTGTTTATCAAATTATCGTTTATTTATTTTAAAAAAAATTTGCTCGTCTTGCAAAACGCCCGCAGACCAAGTTACTCGCAATCCAAGGTTTCCCTATTCTCGGTTCTTTCGGTAAAGAACCAAGAATATGAATCCCTGCAGTCTCGAAAGCATTACAATCAAACGCTATAATAAGTCCTTTCTAAACTCATTGATTGCGAGCAATGCGGTTCTCAAGAGTAGCCAGCGAGCGCGAGCAAATGACGTGGCGCGTGCGGAGGCGATTTAAAGCTTTCGTGACTGCAATGATTCATCGTCTTTGGTTCTTTCGGTGAAGTCACGTAGAATGAGAATAAAATAATAAATTGATAAAATAAAATAACGCGATAAAATTCTCACGACGTTTCGGCCACAACACAAGCGGCCTTCATCAGGTGAAGGGACGAGACTGTCTGGAGGACAGCGCTGTGTTGTTGACGTTGGTGAAAACGAAATGTCCTATTCCGTTATTTCGCGCGTTCGTTTCTCAGCACCATCGCAGAGGGGGCCGTCCATAAATGACGTCACGCACAGAGGGTGGGGGGGGAGGGGTCAGACATTTGTGACGATGTGTGACGAGGGGGGTGTGGGGTGGTGGAGGTGAGAAATGTGACGTCACATCAAAATGCGCAACTTTAAATAAATATAGACAACACGTTCTATTAATTAAATATACTTTTTAATAAATGTTTTCTCCTACAACATCAGAGTTTAAAGCGATTTGAAGCATGTTTTATTTTGAAAATGGAAATATGGTTTGGGGACGGGGGGCACAGCTTTGTGACGTCATATTTGAGGGGGGGGGTCTGACTTTTTGTGACGCCGTGTGACGAGGGAGGGGGGGTAAAAAATCGTAAAAAAATCGCGTGACGTCATTTATGGACGGCCCCAGAGTCGGGCAAGGGGGGCGGTAGGGGGTGCTTGGTTTGAAGAATATTCAACAAGGCGGGGGGAGGGCTCACCGTAGGTTGAGACTCACTGCATCGAGACACCGCTGCCTCACCTGGTGAGCATCCCAACTTGATTCTTCCCCGGGGTCTCCCCAGCCCTTGGGGCAACACGCTCCACAAATACTCCCTCCTAGCCTGCTCCTCTGGGCCGTGGTTGTGGGGGCCCGGTGGGGGGGGGGGGGGGGCAGGTGGGGGGGAGCGGTAGAAGGAGGGGAGGGGAGGGGCGGGGTAATAGGCAGGGGGGCCCAGGTGGGTCGAGTATCGGCCCCCAATTGCACCCCCACGGTAACCCAGAAAGGTGAATAGGCGGGATTGTAATAATGCTGGAATGTGTTGAAACTATCATTACAAATAATGTTTTTTTTAACCGCCGCGCGTAAAAACGTACTTTTTTTGTTTAAAGTAGAATACTCTATTTAACAATCAATCATATGATTAGGCCATCAGCATGTTAGCTTGCCAAGGCATTATTATCAAGCAGCAATTTGTTTCAGCAACAACAACAACAAAAACTCTGGACTGACATTAACCTTCTGGGTCTGGCTTGTCAAACACAACGCTGCTGGGAACGCCACAGATGTTCTTTGGCAACAGTCGATGCGATTCCCCTGCTCAAGTGAGCGCCAAAAAGCGGTTGTTCAAAAGCAAAGCAACAAGCGAATTCGATTTAAATTCCCGTCGGATGAATGCCACAATAAGCACGGCCTCGTTCCGCTGATATCTCAAATTCTAAAGGCCACGTGACTTCGGTATCCTATTCTCTGGGTATGGCTCGTGGGCGTGGATGGCTGGGGAAGGGAAATGAAACAATACCCGTTAGTCGGGAGTTATTTCGCTACAACTCGTCCAACACAAAACGGGCATTATCGGAGGTCGCGCAAGCCGGCTGCTGCCACTGTCCGTCCTTCGCCTTCAGCTGTTCATTCTCTTCTCCCTCTCCAACTTATTGTTCCTTCTCTGCTCCTCTTCTCGCTCGTTCCTCCGCTCGCTGCTCGCTGTTCCTTCATTCGTTCCCTCTTCCCGTGCGCTATTTGACCGGACCGCTTCCTGTTTTGTCTTCCAACTTTCCGATTGTCCACCGACACGGTCGAAACTCTCCGCCGCAGCGAGACTAAGAAAAAATAAATCTCCTCCATCCTCCTCCTCCTCCCTACATCAAGGACCGGGGGGACCGCCACCGCCAGGCGTCGTTTCTCCGCAGAGGCCCCCCCCCCCACGCCGTCTGAAACACGGCCACCACCGAGCCGCACATTTCGTAGTAGCAATCGTACCCCACTGGCTTTTGAAGAGACTCCAAAAAGGCACCACTTCTTTCTTGAAAGCCCTCCTCTTTCTTAAAGGCCCACCTCTATAAAGGCCCACCTCTTGCTTAAATGCCCACCTCTTTCTTAAAGGCCCACGTCTTTCTGAAAGGCTTACCTCTTTCTTAAAAGCCTACCTCTTTCTTAAAGGCCCACCTCTTAAAGGCCCGTCTCTTTCTTAAATGCCCGCCTCTTTCTTAAAGGTTCAACTCTTTCTTAAAGGCCTACCTCTTTCTTAAAGGCCTACCTCTTTCTTAAAGGCCCACCTCTTAAAGGCCCGTCTCTTTCTTAAATGCCCACCTCTTTCTTAAAGGCTCAACTCTTTCTTAAAGGCCTACTTCTTTCTTAAAGGCCCACCTCTTAAAGGCCCACCTCTTTCTTAAAGGCTCAACTCTTTCTTAAAGGCCTACCTCTTTCTTAAATGCCCACCTCTTTCTTAAATGCCCAACTCTTCTGAAAGGCCCACCTCTTTCTTCTGAATGGCCTACCTCTTTCTTCAAGGCTCACCTCTTTCTTAAAGGCCCACCTCTTAAAGGCCCACCTCTGTCTTAAAGGTCCACCTCTTTCTTAAAGGCCCACCTCTTTCTTAAAGGCCCACCTCTTTCTTAAAGGCTCAACTTTTTCTTAGAGGCCCACCTCTTTCGCCTGAGCTTCGAGCAACACTGGGCTTGGCTCCACGTCTCAGTTCATGGTCATTTATGTCCGTGAACTATCGTGCACTACAAATTGCATGATTATTATTATTAACTAGACCCTTACAATTTAACTGCAATATTCCTTCGAATTACACACAGACCCAAGGAACTGATTTATATGATGGCACAAGCATTTTTTTATCGACATCATATCACGATGATGCCATCACCAACTTAATTCAGGGCATTTCGTAATTGGTTGGAGATCATTTACCAGAGATTACACATGTCCATCACAGCACACCAAGCCACCACATTTCGCAATCGAAGACAGACAAACAAACGCACGCTATAAAGCAGTGATACTTAACATTTACTGCAAGCGTTGTCCCCTCTTTGGTTCTAAATCGTTAAAAAAATAACGGATAATGACACTGTAACGTGATAACAAATGTAATGTTAATAGCTGCAAAAAGTCAAAGAGTCTCATCCCACGTGTTCGCCATCGTTGTCAACACATGGCCTGGAATCTTCTCCAGGCGGACTCCAGAGCCTGGAGGCAGCAGCGCATGTCACGTGGTATTGTTGCAAATTTCTCAAAAGTGTTCATATTCCCTTTTTTAAACACCCCGTAATAGGTTTGATGAAACCAAGTAATTTGTAACTTTTTTTTTCTAACTGCGTGGACTTTACCGAAAGAACCAACGAGTATGGATTTCTGCAGTCGCGAAAACTTCAAATCAAAAGTTAGTTGTAACTTACACGCCCATGCTTAATTTGTGTTGTCGATGATTTACAGTACCTTCTAAAAAAATCTGGCCAGGTCTCGCACCTCCCAGAAAGAAAATCTCGCACCCCCAGAGAGGGCATCTCGCACCCCCAGAAAGGGCATCTCGCACCCCCAGAAAGGGCATCTCACACCCCCAGAAAGGGCATCTCGCTCCCCCAGAAAGGGCATCTCGCACCCCCCAGAAAGGGCATCTCGCTCCCCCAGAAAGGGCATCTCGCACCCCCCAGAAAGGGCATCTCGCACCCCCAGAAAGGGCATCTCTCACCCCCAGAGAGGGCATCTCTCACTCCCAGAAAGGGCATCTCACACCCCCAGAAAGGGCATCTCACACCCCCAAAGAGGGCATCTCACACCCCCAGAGAGGGCATCTCTCACCCCCAGAGAGTGCGTCCCGCACCCCCAGAAAGGGCATCTCTCACCCCCAGAGAGGGCATCTCGCACCCCCAGAAAGGGCATCTCGCACCACCAGAGAGGGCATCTCACACCCCCAAAGAGGGCAACTCGCACCCCCAGAAAGGGCATCTCACACCCCCCAGAGCCACTGCTATAAAGTAACAACCCGCGCGTATAAAACTTGAATGTTTGCGAGTTCACATCCTGGTTGGGAATTGACTCGGCCCATCATTTCTGCGGGGTTACTAAAGCGAGTACCGCTTTGCGGGAAAGACAACAAAGGTCGCCCCATGGATAGACTCACCCCCGCCATATGAAAGAGGAATTTCCACCCCTAAGCTCAGGGCTCTGTACAAACTGGACATGGGCAACCAGCTCAACGCTCACTTGAGCAATAAATCACTTTTGACTTGAATTCACGGGTGTGCGTTGTTATTATTATTATCATGTTGCTATCCAAAATTGGGTTTCAATTGAAGCTCACGAGTTCCAAGTCCCACGATGACAAATCAAGGCGACGTGATCAAAATGAAAGAAGATCGGTGAGAGAGCGAGGGACGGCGAGACGGAGAGCGAGGGAGAGCGATAACTAAATGACTCTCCCCCTCCCCCACCCCCTCCATGTTGCATTATTTGTCATTGTGACGCACGAACACAGCCGCGCTCTTCTTCGCAAAGCCCATGCGCTCGCGCACCTACATCACCATGATTGACCCCTTTCAAATCAAGTACGGAAAGTGGATGGGGTCAATCTTCTTCTTCCCGGCAGTCTTCGGAGACCTCTTCTGGGCAGCCGCCACTCTCACCGCGCTTGGTACGATCCAGTGTGGGGTGGGCGTTGTGGGGGTCTTTTTTTTGCATATCCACATTTACGAATCATGGGTACACATCAACAGTAAGTATAGCTTACCGGCGTTACAGGTCATTCCGGGACATATTTGAATTAGAGCTTCATAGCTCATGGAATTCGTCCAGCATAAATTAAAATTCTGATGTATTTACAGAGCTCGCTGTTGGGATTTTACAGGGTTGGCTTAATTGTTTTCTAAAATTAAACACACGAGGGGCCGAGGGGGGAGTGGATAACACATGGGGATGGATAACATATGGGAGGGTAAGGAGCCGCAGGTGTTGGCCGGGAGAAGAGGATCTCACAGTGGAGGTGTGTGTCCTGGTGACACCGTGGCCCTAGGGTCTAATTTTATCATTTAAAATCACAGCTGATGAGTGTGCAGGATGCGCATGCTCAGAGGTATCGTGGGGAAGTATTCTCGATTTTCAGATGACTCTTTTTTTTATTAAAAGCCAGGGTTGATACTAAAGTTTGGCTGATCCTAAAAATGTTTTTTTATTATTGATCCACAAATGTGACCTGACAGGAAGTGATGTCAATTCCACGGTACCACTTCCACAACTTGTCACCCAAGAGGGCCGTCGCGTGATTTCACTGTTTCTTACATTGTTTACGATGTAAAGAATTCTGAAATTGAAATGATCGTTTGACTGTTAAAATTATTACATTTAGTGCATGAACAGCAAACGTTACTAACATTTAATTAACGTAAATAAAAACACTAAAATCTAAAATCAAATTTTAAATGTTGCCCAAAATCCAGAAATCCACAAAAAAATATATTTATTGGATTAATTTTAAACATCGGAAAAATGTGGATTCTCTGTAAAGCACATTTCAGATTTATCAGAAAACCGGACGTGAAGCCACCTCACTTCCCATCACATGTGGCATCACGTATCATCACTTATTTTATTTTTTAGCATCAAGACATTTTACATGAGCACATCATGCCAACTGTCAGAAACACACACACAAAAAAAGAGATCCGACATCATTGCGAGAGAAAAACAAAAATCCGCAGAATTCAAAATCCAAAGCTAATCTCTCGAGGACGTATGCAGCATGTCCATCATTTATCAATGAATACTAACGGTCACGTGTGCTTGGTTTGCATTTTTCCAGGCTCGACGATCAGCGTCATTCTGGACATCGACAGGACGCTCGCCGTGATGATGTCCGCCTTTGTTGCCATCTTCTACACGCTGCTGGGAGGACTTTACTCCGTAGCTTACACTGACATCATCCAACTCTGCTTAATCGCCATTGGCTTGGTGAGCTCATTGACGGCCAATGTCAGGAAAGAGCTGAGAAGCCTTGGCTCCATTATACAGGGTGCTTCAAAAACATGTAAATACTTTTGACGTTGTGCAACAAATTGTCAATCCAGCGCTGTCCTCCAGACAGTCTCGTCCCTTCACCTGATGAAGGCCGCTTGTGTTGTGGCCGCAACGTCGTGATTTTTTGTTATTTTATTTTCACCTATGTGACTTTACCCAATAGAACCAAAGAGTATAATGCCACGGGCGCTGGAGACCGCCTGGAGAACATTCCAGGCCACGTGTTGACAACGATGGCGAACAAGTGGAAGACTCTTTGACTTTTTGAAACTATGAACATATTCTTGGTTTCTTTCGGTAAAGTCACGTAGAAGGGAAACAATAAAGTAATAAAAATATGAAATAATACAATTCTCACGACGTTTCGACTGCAACACAAGCAATAAACATCAGGTGTGAAAACCACAGCAAGAACAATTTTTGCTGTGGTTTTCACACCTGATGATGATTGCTTGTGTTGCAGTCGAAACGTCGTGATAATTTTATTGTTTTATATTTTTATTATTTTTTTTGTTTCCATTCTACGTGACTTTACCGAAAGAACCAAGAATATGAATCCCTGCAGTCACGAAAGCTTTAAATCACTATTAACATAGTTATCATGTTACAGTGTATTATACGTTTATTTTTCCATCAAAAACGATAGTCCCATACAGTGAGAGAAAAAAATATTTGATCCCCTGCTGATTTTGTACGTTTGCCCACTGACAAAGAAATGATCAGTCTATAAATGTAATGGTAGGTTTATTTGAACAGTGAGAGACAGAATAACAACAAAAATCCAGAAAAACGCATGTCAAAAATGTTATGAATTGATTTGCATTTTAATGAGGGAAATAAGAATTTGACCCCTCTGCAAAACTAGTACTTGGTGGCAAAACCCTTGTTGGCAATCACAGAGGTCAGACTTTTCTTGTAGTTGGCCACCAGGTTTGCACACATCTCAGGAGGGATTTTGTCCCACTCCTCTTTGCAGATATTCTCCAAGTCATTAAGGTTTCGAGGCTGACGTTTGGCAACTCGAACCTTCAGCTCCCTCCACAGATTTTCTATGGGTATAAGGTCTGGAGACTGGCTAGGCCCACTCCAGGACCTTAATGTGCTTCTTCTTGAGCCACTCCTTTGTTGCCTTGGCCGTGTGTTTTGGATCATTGTCATGCTGGAATACCCATCCACGATCCATTTTCAATGCCCTGGCTGAGGGAAGGAGGTTCTCACCCAAGATTTGACGGTACATGGCCCCGTCCATCGTCCCTTTGATGCGGTGAAGTTATGCTGTCCCCATGTTTGACGGTGGGGATGGTGTTCTTGGGGTCATAGGCAGCATTCCTCCTCCTCCAAACACGGCGAGTTGATTTGATGCCAAAGAGCTACATTTTGGTCTCATCTGACCACAACACTTTCACCCAGTTGTCCTCTGAATCATTCAGATGTTCATTGGCAAACTTCAGACGGGCATGTTTACGTACTTTCTTGAGCAGGAGGACCTTGCGGGCGCTGCAGGATTTCAGTCCTTCACGGCGTAGTGTGTTACCAATTGTTTTCTTGGTGACTATGGTCCCAGCTGCCTTGAGATCATTGACAAGATCCTCCCGTGTAGTTCTGGGCTGATTCCTCACCGTTCTCATGATCATTGCAACTCCACTAGGTGAGATCTTGCATGGAGCCCCAGGCCGAGGGAGATTGACACTTATTTTGTGTTTCTTCCATTTGCGAATAATCGCATCAACTGTTGTCACCTTCTCACCAAGCTGCTTGGCAATGGTCTTGTAGCCCATTCCAGCCTTGTGTAGGTCTACAATCTTGTCCCTGACATCCTTGGAGAGCTCTTTGGTCTTGGCCATGGTGGAGAGTTTGGAATCTGATTGATTGATTGCTTCTGTGGACAGGTGTCTTTTATACAGGTAACAAGCTGAGATTAGGAGCACTCCCTTTAAGAGTGTGCTCATAATCTCAGCTCGTTACCTGTATAAAAGACACCTGGGAGCCAGAAATCTTTCTGATTGAGAGGGGGTCAAATACTTATTTCCCTCATTAAAATGCAAATCAATTTATAACATTTTTGACATGCGTTTTTCTGGATTTTGTTGTTGCTATTGTCTCTCACTGTTCAAATAAACCTACCATTAAAATTATAGACTGATCATATCTTTGTCAAAATCAGCAGGGGATCAAATACTTTTTTCCCTCACAGTATAAGAGTTGAATTTTTTTTTCAAGCACCCTGTATGAGGCAGACATTTTGGGAGCTATCAAGTTATTTTTGTTTCAAGACAGCGCTCTAACGTTGTAAATAACTTGTCGGGGTTTTTTTTTAGTTTGCACATTCCCATCCTGCAATGTCCTGTAAGCAGTGCCGGATGAAGCTTGTGCGGGATCTGATGCATGTTATAAAGGAGCCCTAAATAAATAAATAACCACATTTTAATATATTTAAAAAATACTTGTAGGATAAAGTCATTGTATTTTTTCATTTGCTATACAGCCAGATAATACGACAAATCGCTAACCTTAAACACCCAGTCGATCGTAAAAGTCGAAGGCGGTATAGTATTATATAGTAATGGAGCAAGTGCAGAATCACTGAAGCGGAATTGATAGCTAGAAAGCATTTAGCGCGGGGCCCTTGAAAGTGCGGGGCCCGTAGCTACAACACGTGTAATAGCTACAACACTACACGTGTTGTAGCTACTACACGTGTTGTAGCTACAACACGTGTAGTAGCTACGCTACAACACGTGTAGTAGCTACACTACTACACGTGTTGTAGCTACTAGTCTCGGGGTGTAGCCGTCCCTGTTAAAGAGCTGATCGGCCCAGTGGAGCCGTCGGGGCCATCTACTTAGCAGGTACGCAAAAATGTGTCAAAACTTTACCCCTACCCCCCTCCCTGTACGCACGCGGAGTTTTTACACCCCCCCCCCCCCCGAATCCTATAGAACTGCCGATATTTAATCCACGCAGAAACGATCAAGGCATAATAATATTAACGTGTTTAAGCAAACAGATAGTCCACCGCCGGACTCATTTGAAGGCCAATGTAGACAAATTATTATCGAGGCTTCACCCCCCCCCCCCCCCCCATTTCCTATACGTACATTGTCAGTAGACTCCTCCCCATACGCAAGCGAACGCATTTGAGTTAGCCCCCCTCCCCCCTCCATGCGTACGTACTCAATGGATAACCCCTCACCGGGTGAAGTAAAATGAGTTTGGAGTTGTACGTAATGGGTTAATGTGACCCTCCCCCACAGCCACTGCAGTTGATGACAGGGCGACGCAGTGGTGACACTTGTGGCCTCACAGCAAGACGCACCCGAGTTCGATTCCCGTGTCGGGTGCCTTTCTGCGTCGAGTGTGGCAACATCGCCCCCTACCGCGATGCAAACAAAGACGTGGCAGGCTCCTCCTGACCCCGGGGAGACGATGTTCCTTTTGAAGACGTCGGCTTTCGCGACCAATATCATCCATGATAGAGGTGTTTTTTTGATCGAACCCCCCCAAAAAAACACCTCTATTATGGACGACGTTCATTGTTAAACGAGCATAACGAACGGAACGAATCTCTGCGTAAACCACAATGTCAAAACAAACATCTTCTGAATCGCATTGCGACAAATGCATCAAAATTACGAGAGAGAGAGCCGGCCACAAGTCGTGAAATTGCGAGAGAGATGGACGCATTTTCTCTTCGTGCCCAGAACCGAGGCTGCCTTGGCCGAGTCGTGTTTGACCATCGCTGTGCCCAGCAGCCGTCTGGAACTCGCTCCCACCGCACACACACGCAGCATCCAAGCACCATCCACCCTGCAAAACCCTCGAGCAAGTCGTTCAAGGCCGTCGCCTGTTCAGGCCGATGTTAAAGGAACTTTCAGCCTTGGGTCCGCGCCTCCCGCGTTCTCGAACGAGCAATTGTGTCCGACTTGCGAATAATGCTGTGCCTCTTGTTGTTGTCGCGGCTCTCTCGCTGGTTCAGCAGTTTCCACTGCTGGATTATTATTTTTTCCGCCTGAGGACGGCCGCTTGTGTTGCGATCGAAACGTCGTGATATTTTAGTTTTTCTGTATTTTATTTTTCTACCCACGTGACTTTCCCGAAAGGACCAAAAGAGTATGGATTCCTGCAGTCACGAAAGCTTCAAATCAAGAATGCTGTGCAATTATACATTTGTATTTATTACGAATTGATTGTTAAGCGGAGAATAACAACTGCTTCCATTCGTCACCATGAGCCCACAATGTACCAGGCATCTCAGAATGACAGAAACGCAAAGGAGGATACGGGTGGCAATGAGAAGTGCTGAGCATGGGAAGGAGAAAAGGGAAGCGATTAATGGGGTCCAGAGGTACAGGGGGGAGAATGAGAAATATTTCATGATGAGATGCTTGACAGCAGACAGAGCAAGCGGTGAACCAGGCAAAGTTGCCTGGGCAGGGAGCCCCGAACGCGAAATCGAGTGGCCACAAATGGTGGAGCAACAGATCCTGGTGTTTCATAGCTGCCACTCCCAATTCATATTCATACGGAAGACGATCGCGATTCAAATGCGGCCCGGTAGATGGTAGCACAACATCACGTCGGGTTGCGGCTGAGAGAGAATAAAAGTTGTGCGTGGCCGCGATCGATTGAGCAAACACAACGTGCTGTGTAACTCATCTCCTCACCCTTGTGGTCAGAGAGTTCTTCATTATTTAGGAGCGTAATGTTTACAATGCGAAGGGATGTAGCGACCACAACTGGCCACTCGTGTGTATAACAAATAAGCAGGCATGGAGGTACGTTACATTTTCGAAAACTATTGTACTTGATCCATTTCTGCATTCAAAACGTGCGTGTAGAATATAATACAGCGACAGCAGTTATTATTACTACGCTTGCTTACCTAGCAAACCCCAAGGTGTCTCCAACTCATTTTCAAGCGGGTCCTGCCAAGTTTTCACTGTATACGGGGCGACAAAAGCAACTGTTTCCTAACGCAAGTGATTTGTGAATCTTTTTTTAAGCGTAATTTAGACCCTGGCGCCGAACGCACACACACACACTCTTCTTCGAATGTCAGAGGACCTCATAACGTTCACCTTGAAAACAGACGACACTTTTATACTTTTCTGGCATCACACCCCGGGGAGTATAAACTGAGGGCCGCCTGCCCAGAATTCGTGAGGGTGCCACGGTGGCTATGAGATGTTAACTACCTCGCCTGGTATGCAGGAGGTCGTGGGTTCAATCCCGACCCTTACGCCTGTTGTATATTTGTAGTCTGCATGTTCTCCCCTGTGGTCGCGTGGATTTTTCACCGGGTCCTTCGGTTTTCCCCTCCACATTTAGAATCAACATGCAATTAGAGTAATTTGCCTGATGTAAATTTCCACATGATGACAAGCCACTTCGTTGGGGCTATCATTTGTGGCCAGGTCGCTTCTAAATAAAAAAAATATATATAGCTACATAGCTCAGTGGGCCTTGCCTGTTAAACTAAAAACAAATAGTCGTTAATAGTTTGTGGTGCTCTCTCGCAGGTGGTGTGCGTGCCTTTCTCCATGATGAACCAGGCGGTGACCAACATTGGCAACACCTTCACGCAGCCCCTCTACCAGGAGCCGTGGGTGGGCACCCTGAAACCCAGGGATGTCACGCGCTGGCTTGACAACATGGTCTACTTGGTGAGGGTCGGCGTGAGGAGGACGAGGAGGAGTGTCTGTCTGGGTCTTCCCAATCAACGTGGAACCTTGGGCCAACCTTTCCAACCACATGCCAACATTAGCCCAACAAGAAGATTTCGGTCCCTGTGGTCCGGTCACCTCCTAGGATCCAGCGGAGGGCTTTGTGGGCCCTCTATGCAGCCTAACGTAGATTTAGGCTTTATAGGTTAGAATTATTAAAATATAAATTACTCTAAGAAATGGACAATAACATAAAGGATTTTTATTTTATTTCAAAAGCAACGTATGAACTATGTTAGCCAAGTCTCCTAAGTGCAATAAATCGATAGGCCAAGAGTCTTAAAGTGTACAGTACTGAAGATAACACATTTTTTACCGAAATTGACACGAAGCAATTATTAAAATTATTGTTCTTACCTTTTCTTTTTTCTCCCTCTGCCCAACGCTCACCGGCTTCCTACCACGTGGCTGCTCAAATGTGCTCAGAGTCGCGTGGGTAGACGAGTCGTGTTTGAAGATTTCCCTCTCCGAAATCGATCCACAGTGGCCTTACACGGACGTCGTAAACGCGTGTCACGCGTGTCGCAAATCGGACCGTCGTAAACCGGACGCAACTGTTTCCCAAACTTCAAATCAACCTTTTTTTGCGACTTAAAAAAAAACATATCAAATCAATATTTAATTTAATATTGTTTCAGTAATGTCCTCTTCGTCGTGTCTCCTGTCCAACCTCAACACGGCTCTTTTAACAATATTCTGCACAGGTGGTTGGCATTGCCAAATATCTTGAGTGGCATTGTGGGTGCTGCAGGGCACCTCAGGAGATGGTGCACGTGGTTTGCTTCTCCCTACAAGCACACATCGTTCGGTTGTGCAGAAGCCCCCCCTCCCCTCACCATGATTTCATGAGAGAGTTTCAGCTGCCGAGACTCACTCTCTCTCTTCAGTCTTGTTTAGGCTCCGCCATGGGAGACATTTGAAATTCATAGCTATCAACCCAAACGGTTTAGCCCGTATTCTTGTAACAGGGAAATTGAGTTTTCAGGTCCATACGGCGCACAGCCGTTTCAATAGGGACAAAAAAATGTTTCGTCTATTTGTTTGTGTTTCTCCCTTGTGATGGGGACGTTGTAGGATGAACGTTGAGATTTATACGGGCTCGAAGTGATCAATAAGGTGGACACCGATAATGGGTTGACAGGTGTGTCGCTTGATATTTCCCATTCTTTCTGCCAGAGGGGAAGTTCTCGCAGATTCTGGTGATGTGGTCAGAGTAACGAACGCGTGCTTTGCTCCATTCTAGTACGATAGAGTATCATGTTGCGCACAGTATTTACTGGGCTGGATCTGCTAGGTACAGCAGTCCCTGTAGTGTATAATAGGCGACGTTTAAAGCAATGACCCTTCATAGTGCCATGAGCGTTGTAGGCGAATGTGCTGACAGGTGATTTTGTTTCTGCGTTAACTGCGCTTATGCACGACTGCTCACGACTAGCCAGCACCCTGCAAAGTATTATATGTGCATTGTGTGTGCATTTTGTATGCATTGTGTGTGTGCGTGTACGTGCGTTTGCATGTAGATGGGGAGCGATTGCCCAGTTTGATTCCCGCTCACGGCCAACAACCAGTGACGATTATCTGAACCCCTAGGTCAACTCAGCCTCAAACGAGTACCTGGTGCGGTGTGTAGTAAACATCACCACTGGGGAGACAAAGGCGGCCGAGCGTGGTGCTGGCCACCTACCCCCTCGTGTGCCAACAGTGCCGGCCTTCATAGGTGCTCACTAACAGCACTTGCCCCAAAAGTATGGCAAGGCTATACGGGGGATATTTGTCTTTTGTGCGTGTTTTCTTTGCTGCATGCAGATCCTAGGGGGCAATCCCGTGCCAGGTGTATTTCCAGCGCGTGCATGACGGCACAGCACTTGCCCCAAAAGTATGGCACAGGCCATACGGGGGATCTTTGTCTGTTGTGTTTTTGTTGTTGCATGCAGATCCTAGGGGGCATTCCGTGGCAGGTGTATTTCCAGCGCGTGCTGGCAGCGGGCTCTGTGTCCCAAGCCCAGTACATCTCCTTCGTCTCGGCATTCACCACCCTGCTGCTAGCCGTGCCACCGCTCCTCATTGGCGCAGTGGCCGTCAGCACTGGTAACCTCCCCCCGCCCCTCCCACCAAAGACATCACAACGACAAAATATACACAAACACAATGGCAGTGTTGTGGCGACTGATAATCTGACACCATTGTTCTATCATTGCAAGGCCCCGCGGGGCCACTGGCGGCCTTTTAGTGCGGTACCATGACGTGCGACCTGCGGCGTTACACAAAAGTGAAAACACCCCATCATCATCATCATCGTCGTGCTGCTGATAAACCCCCAATGGTTTGAAATGTGTGGCGGCCCCCTCAACACTAATGATGTCTTATCGGCGAAAGTGCAACCTCCCCCCTCCCCTCTGAAAAATTAGTGAACACTGATTCACATTCACATCAAAGGGTTGGTAAAACGTTAGCAAGGAGACCAAATGTGGCTCGTGAATGGCTGCAGCTTCTCTGTTGCTGTTATTTTTTTTTCTCTCTCCGCCTGATGAAGACCGCTTGTGTTGCGATCGAAAAGTCGTGTTTTTTTTATTATTTTCCATTTATTTTTAACTTTATATTTTTTATTGTGGGTTTTTTTTTGCTTTGATCACTTTCAATTTATTAGTTTTATTTATTATTTCCATTTCTTTTATTTTTTGGGTTTCTATTTACGTGACTTTACCGAAAGGACCAAGAATAATGTTGTTTTTTTTTGCTGTTGTTTCCCCCCCCCCCCCCCGAGACTGGAATATGACCACCTACGGGTTGCCAACGCCTCACGAGCGGGGAGAGAACGGCATGATCCTACCCATCGTGCTGCAGCACATCTGTCCGTACTTCATCTCCATCCTGGGCATGGGCGCCCTGGCGGCTGCTGTGATGTCTTCCGCCGACTCGGCGCTTCTCTCGGCCAGTTCGCTCTTCACCAGGAACATCTACGCAAAGCTCATCCGTCCCAAGGTGATTCGATGCCACCTCTTGTGCATCGCAAATACGTTCGGGAGCTAAAATGGCAATGCCCGAGGCCTCTCGGTCACGACGTGCAGGGCTTCGGGAAAGAGTCTGTGTAACGTTGCTCTTCCTCCGTTGAAGGGGAGCAGATTACGGCGGTTTACCGTTCATGCGATCCATTGGAAGGGACATCGTTGATTTGAATCCCAAGGCAACGACGCCGATGATGACGATGAAGGGCTAACTGCTGTGAGAGAGCCTTGTGGCATTTTCACCACAGGCAACTGGGATAAGCTTGACGCCCTACCATCGCGCACAATGTATGCATAGTTGTGGGGTGTGTTCTCAATCATGGGATTGATTTCAGAAGATCAAATGGGGCAGTGATAAGAAATGTCGGGTGTGACAGAAAAATATTTTCAATTGTCCCGAAAGCACGTGACAGGAAATGACGTCACGTATGATCACATGGAACCAGGTGACCCATTGCTTTCGTAAGCACGAAGACAGAGGACCACGTGGCGACACGTAAAATCTCGTACGCGAGGATGACTGGTCCGAAAATATGAAAGGCAACCTGAAATTGAGCTTTAACAAAAAAATAAAAATACGAAACTCACTCCCAAGGCGCAGCAATCTTTTTCAGCTGCGACACTACTTCAGTGCTGTGGTCGAGGGATCGTGATTAAACAATACGTCGTATTATTAATGTTTCCACTCCCATTAACCCAGATGATCGAGAGTTGACTCATTCAATTTAATATTTTGTGTTTTGTTTTTGTATCGACTCGTGACCTATTTGCTGGATTGATTATCTTTCTTCTTCCCCTCTTTTCTGTTTTCTCTCTTTCCTCTGCTTCTCTTTCCTGCCTTAGACCACGAAGGATCTTCTTTAGATAGTTCCGTCTGTTTCTAACACGGCAACAGTCCGTATCCTTTTGTCTATTTAATAATCAGAATAATACATTTCACTCATTAGGCGCCTTTCACAATGTCACCATAATAATGGTTGTTTTTTAATAATTTCGACGTAATTTATGATAATATAATCATACATATCATTAATGAAAATGCATTAAACTTCATGCATCACTTCCTGCCACCCTTTGTGGGCGCACATTGATGACATCACACCACCTATTTAAGGCCCAAGGCTGGAGGGCATTTTCACAATTCTGTCAACCGCCTGATGATGCCTGTTGTAACCACTATCGAATTGCACGTACCCACAGTTAAACGTGCATTTCATGGCTCTCCAACGCGCTGCTGCGCTGAAGTGGTAATACATCATCTCACACTTGTTCATGTGAGACCTTCGATTAATCAACTATGACTCGTGATTGTCCCGTTTGCTTTGTCGACAACGTAAAAAAAAAATCGCCCGTAACGAAAGTGAACGTCCCGTGTGCGTGCGTCACCGCCGGCAGGCTTCCGACCAGGAGACGTTGTGGGTGCTGAGGATTTCGATTTTGGCCATCGGCAGCATGGCGATGATTCTGGCCATCAAGACCGTGTCCACCTACAGCCTGTGGCTGCTGTGCGGAGACATGGCGTATGTCGTCGTTTTCCCCCAGTTCTGCCTCGTCCTCTTCTTCCAAGCCAGCAACAGCTACGGCCTCGTCGTAGGCTTCGTCCTGGGCCTCTTTGTGAGACTCACAGGCGGCGAGGCCCTGCTTGGTCTTCCCGCGCTCTTCCGCTACCCGGGCTACTACGAGGAAGGTGGCCTGGACTACCAGATGTTCCCCATGAAAACGCTTTCCATGACGGTCTCTTTGCTGAGCAACATCGGCGTCTGTTACCTCACGCGCCACCTCTTCCTCTCCAAGAAGCTGCCGGCGCGGTTCGATTTCTTTAACGAGTTCGGCGGACTGGGCAAGGACCCTGCGGGTGGGCCGGCGCCCTCCCCCAGCCCCCGGGGAACCGTCGAGCTGGCCGTAATCTCGGACGAAGCGGTCGACCTCCAACACGAGAATGGCAGGGAGGACAAGCCCGTGGACGTTCTGCCTCAGTGCAAGTAACTCGTCCGCATCTACGATCCGTAAATGCGCACCAATTTTGCTACCCCGGTTTACACCAGGATGCGTTCCTGAATACCAGAACGTACACAGGGTAGTACTTCAATCGAAGCAAAGAGAGATGATGGATTGTAACATGGTACAGAACCTACTACTCGTGGCAGTCGGTACTACTGCTAGACATGGGATGGTGGATCCTAACGTGGTGCAGTACCTCGACAGAAGATGCTCAGTAAACAATTGCGCATCCATACTGCACAACTATGAAAAGTAAGTGTATATCATTGATATATTACAATATATCACCTCGTCTATTATAATATATGTATTATTAGTTGTTTAGCATATAAAAAATAGTTTACACTTGTATAAAAAGTCGCCATGGGGGTGGGGGGGGGGTAGCCAATCAGGGACGCTCTCGCTTGGGCGCCATTTTGGCTCTTGAATGTTCGCCGTGCAACGTAAAAATGTGTGGCTCGAAGGTGAACTTCGTAATTCTAGAGTACGTCGTGGCGAGGTACACGGTGAGTAGAACGGGATCGGGTATCGATAAGTCGAGGACGTTGTCGCAAAAAGTACGTGAAGCGGGAGGGCGTAAAACCGGGCTATTGGTGTACAGTAGAACCCCCCCGCTCTCAACGACGGTAATTGGTTCCATGATACCGGTCGTTAAGTGATCTGGTTGTTAAGCGAGTACAGTAAAACCTTGGATTGCGAGTAACTTGGTCTGCGAGTGTTTTGCAAGACGAGCAAAATTTTTAATTAAATATTAATTTGATAAACGAGCGAGGTTCTTGCAATACGAGTAGTACGTATACACGCCTTGTCTGCCGAGCGTTACGTGATCACAACTGATGTACGAGTACTTTGATATACGAGTGCTTTGATATACAAACACGTTTCCGGAACGAATTATGCTCACAATCCAAGGTTTTACTGTATATAGGAAATACACGTTAAAGGCTTGATTCGTTCCGGTAGCATCGAAAGCTACCCCTTTTTACCCAAAAAAACGTGCTTTATATTGAAACAATGGGTATTCATACGTAAAGATACTAACATTATAAACACAATATTAAAAGAAATGTGGTTAGTAAATGCAATAAATTGATATTTACTGTACCTACAACAGATTGTCTTTAAAAGGGGAATGGTCGGTAAGCGAACACATTTGGCTCTATGCAGGCACTACACTACACTATACACTACACTATACAACACAACACTTATACACTACTATACACTACACTAGTATATACTCTACACTATACACTACAACACACTACTGTATATTCATAATAACGGTTTTTGGGTTAGATCGCGTTTATTTATAAATGTGTCGTAACCCTCCACCACCCGACACGGCCAATCAGCAAAAAAAAAGTGTCACGTTGACAAAAGACAAATAATTCACTACTTTAGCCCACCGGTGTGTTGAAGAGTGAATCCACATTTACAGTTTGAGTACGTTTTGCTGGTAAATACATCCAGCATCATCGGGCAATTCGCCAGAATGGTAAAGCCCTCGCTTGCTCCCGGTTTTATATAGAGCAGCAGGGTGACGTCATCATTTAACTCATTTCAGGTGCAGTGATTAGATGCGGAGGGGGGGGGGGTATTGTAATTATATAATCGATTAGTAATCAGTCATTGGTTATGATTAGTAATGAGTTGTAGATTAGTAATTCTTTAAATCAAAATGTAATGTGTATTATTTAATAATACGCTTCCAGGCCGCACTAATTAGTCTTTGCAAAGACTAATTAGAGAATCCATTGAAATTTAGAGGAACAAGAATAACTTTAATCGCTCTGACAGCTACCGGCTTAGTGCGGCCTGGAAGCGTATTATTAAATAATACACATTACATTTTGATTTAAAGAATGACTAATCTACAACTCATTACTAATCATAACCAATGACTGATTACTAATCGATTATATAATTATATATAAAACCGGGAGCAAGCGAGGGCTTTACCATTCTGGCGAATTGCCCGATGATGCTGGATGTATTTACCAGCGAAACGTCGTACTCAAACTGTAAATGTGGATTCACTCTTCAACACACCGGTGGGCTAAAGTAGTGAATTATTTGTCTTTTGTCAACGTGACACTTTTTTTGCTGATTGGCCGTGTCGGGTGGTGGAGGGTTACGACACATTTATAAATAAACGCGATCTAACCCAAAAACCGTTATTATGAATAATATTGGTCGCGAAAGCCTACGTGTTAAACTGACACTACTGTATACTCTACACTATACACTACTATACTCTACACTACTATACACTATTATACACTACACTACACATTGGGCTCTATGGAGGCCCATTGTTAAGCGATTATTCGTTAACAGGGGTGATCGTTAAGAGGAGTTCTACTGCATAAGCTCGGACGGATCTAGATTTAACCCAAGTCTCACTTGGTTCAGCAGATTCTGGACGAAAGCTACCTCATGTCTGGGAGGTGCAACACAGATCACAAGGTGATCTGTGTTGCCACGCCCACTTTCACATTGACCACGCCCACTCGGCCACTAACCCCGCTCACCCGTGGCTTGGTTAAATTAAAAACTGGATGTGTGCAAGTAAAAATGTAGCTTAAGCACCGATATAGTGGCAATGTCCATAGGCTATAGTTTGAATAAGTTAAGTTTTAATACATGTTTCATGACAGAAAAAAAAGGTTGAAATTTTTACACAACGCATGAAATACCTTTCTTTAAACTATACTGGCAGCAATGTACCGTTTGAGGAACTTTAATTTCTTAAACATCTGAATGTACAATAAACATGTGATTACCGAACATTTGATTACGTTGTTATTATTATACAGTTCCTTTCAGATTCGAAATGGATAGCGGCGGTGGGGGGGGGGGGGGAAGGGGGCGGGGCAGTCATATACAGGGACTCCTCTACTTACGAACATTCGACTTACGAACTATCGGAGATAAGAACAAACCTGGTCCGCATGTCCAGTTGCCTGTTCAGACCGAGAGTCGTAAGTTCAACCGCCGGGCAATAGATGGCAGTGGTGGAATCTATTTCTGCAGAACGTGAAGAACCAGTGGCATCTACATCTGCAGAACGTGAAGAACCAGTGGCATCTACATCTGCAGAACGTGAAGAACCAGTGGCATCTACACCTGCAGAACGTGAAGAACCAGTGGCATCTACATCTGCAGAACGTGAAGAACCAGTGGCATCTACATCTGCAGAACGTGAAGAACCAGTGGCATCTACATCTGCAGAACGTGAAGAACCAGTGGTATCTACATCTGCAGAACGTGAAGAACCAGTGGCATCTATAGGAGATTATACAACTTTTAATGCCATGCTCTGTGTTTGGTGTACACGCCGTACAACATTTTCACACGTAGGAGGCTTTTGTGACCAATGTCATCCATAAGAGGTTTTTTTTTGGGTTAGCTCGCGTAAATATATAAATGTGTCGTTAAACCCGCCACCACCCGACACAGCAAATCAGAATGGTTTGTCACGTAAACAGAACATGGCTGTTGCCTGATGAAGCCGGTTGTAATTGCTGGCGAAACGTCATACTCAGATTGTAAATGTTGTGGCTTTGCTCTCCAACACACCGGTGTGCTGTACTAATGACGTTGCACTTACAAACAAATCGACTTACGAACACACCTCTGGAACATAACTCATTCGTAAGTAGAGGAGCCCCTGTACAGGAGTCAGCCTGTCTGGGAGCCAACCGCACGTTGGGACACAGATGGCATGGTAACAGCACCGCTTTGACAGCAGCAGCTCATCCGAACCCATCCAACGTGGGACCAAAACGGACATTCAATCGACTCAGCTTCAGCTACGGTAAGCACGGGGTCGCTCTGAACATCAAACAAAAACCCGAGGAGGGGGAACTCTCAAAGCTGGGATCAGGAGTGTGACGGATCAGAGTGTCACGGATCAGAGTGTCACGGATCAGAGTGTCACGGATCAGAGTGTCACTGATCAGAGTGTCACGGATCAGAGTGTCACGGATCAGAGTGTCACGGATCAGAGTGTCACGGATCAGAGTGTCACGGATCGGGGTGTCACGGATCAGAGTGTCACGGATGGGGGTGTCACGGATGGGGGTGTCACGGATGGGGGTGTCACGGATGGGGGTGTCACGGATGGGGGTGTCACGGATGGGGGCGTCACCGCGGCCCAAGCCATTGACGCCCCCACTACTTTCTCTCTTCGACCAAAGCTCACACCGGCTACTACTGCTGCTGCTGCAGCGTCGACAGGAGACGCTCTTGAAGATCTCCCCTGGCAGTCTCCCCCCCCCCCCCCCATCATCATCTGGTCTCTGCCGTGGTCGCCACACTCCTGGAGACCACTCCCAATGCCCCCGTCCTGGAAACAGGCCCTCCCCTGTCCACCGTCCCCCACACACCCGTTGCTGGAAATCCGTGGCAAAAGAGCTTCACGGCTCATGGCTTCCTGCAGTGTGAATAAATATTCTGATTCTGATGTTCATACGTTCATCGACGAGTGCTAAGAATCGAGGTGGTTAACTTTTACTGACCGGTCACCCGCGATGACCGTTCACCGCAGCGTTCACTACGTAACTTTTACTGACCGGTCACCCGCGATGACCGTTCACTACGTAACTTTTACTGACCGGTCACCCGCGATGACTGTTCACCGCAAAGTTCACTACGTAACTTTTACTGACCAGTCACCCGCGATGACCGTTCACTACGTAACTTTTACTGACCGGTCACCCGCGATAACCTTTCACCGCAGCGTTCACTACGTAACATCGCAGTTCAATAGTCATTTTAGCCACGATTGAAATAAGATATTCTTGGTTCTTTCGGTAAAGTCACGTAGAAGGGAAACAATAAAATAATAAAAATATAAAACAATGCAATTTTATTATAAAATTATTATAAAATAATAAAAATCTAAAACAATAAAATTGGATTGTTTTTACATTTTTATTATTTTATTGTTTCCCTTCTACGTGACTTTACCGAAAGAACCAAGAATATGAATCCCTGCAATCGCGAAAGCTTTAAATCAAAATGAAACAAGATAGTTATTACACAACTTAAAAGAGATACACTTATCAACCGTTACGACCAATACTGTGCACAGTGTTCAATGTAGCTCCCAAGGTATTTTACGGCTGCACCGCGTTTCACACCGCATGCTGGAGCGAAACGTCGGACACACCGCGCAGAAAACGACACACGGAACGACCCCGGAAGCCGCATCGGAGAGCTCAGCGGCAGCAGCAGCAAAACGACGAAAAACCCACGCGGTCGAATTCTATTCACGTCCCGAACAATTTCACAAAACGCCGCGACGTACCCTCCAGACATCTGTGCTGATGTAGTGTTGTTTGGGAGCGGTGGTGCAGCGGGGAGCGCATTGCGCTGCGAAGCCGGCGGCCCGAATTCCGATTTCTGCTCACGGGCAACACCAGTGACGATTATCTGAACCGGTCCCGGGCCTCCCCTAGGTACCCGGTGCGGTGTGTAAACATTGTCGCTGGGGAGACAAAGGCGGCCGGGCGTGGTGCTGGGCACCCATCCCCTCGTGTGCCGATCCGGCATTTATAGGTGCTCGCTAAGAGCACTTGCCCCAGCAGTCTGTTAAGGCTACACGGGGCGTCTTTGTCTTTGTTAGTCCGCAGTTGTTAGATGTGCATGGAACACTGCTGTGTGGTTGGGTGTGAAGGTTCTGCGTTGCAACCAGCAGATATACACGCATTTACCAAATGTTGTTAGCGGTGTGAGACTTATTGTGCGCTTACTCGGGTGAAATAATGGCACGCCATCACCAGTCCCGGATTATCGTAGTCGCAACAGTAGCTACTACATATGTAGTAGCAACAGTAGCTACATATGTAGTAGCAACAGTAGCTACATATGTAGTAGCAACAGTAGCTACATATGTAGTAGCAACAGTAGCTACATATGTAGTAGCAACAGTAGCTACATATGTAGTAGCAACAGTAGCTACACATGTAGTAGCAACAGTAGCTACACATGTAGTAGCAACAGTAGCTACGCATGTAGTAGCAACAGTAGCTACGCATGTAGTAGCAACAGTAGCTACACATGTAGTAGCAACAGTAGCTACACATGTAGTAGCAACAGTAGCTACTACATATGTAGTAGCAACAGTAGCTACTACATATGTAGTAGCAACAGTAGCTACTACATATGTAGTAGCAACAGTAGCTACACATGTAGTAGCAACAGTAGCTACACATGTAGTAGCAACAGTAGCTACACATGTAGTAGCAACAGTAGCTACACATGTAGTAGCAACAGTAGCTACACATGTAGTAGCAACAGTAGCTACACATGTAGTAGCAACAGTAGCTACACATGTAGTAGCAACAGTAGCTACACATGTAGTAGCAACAGTAGCTACACATGTAGTAGCAACAGTAGCTACACATGTAGTAGCAACAGTAGCTACACATGTAGTAGCAACAGTAGCTACACATGTAGTAGCAACAGTAGCTACACATGTAGTAGCAACAGTAGCTACACATGTAGTAGCAACAGTAGCTACACATGTAGTAGCAACAGTAGCTACACATGTAGTAGCAACAGTAGCTACACATGTAGTAGCAACAGTAGCTACACATGTAGTAGCAACAGTAGCTACACATGTAGTAGCAACAGTAGCTACATATGTAGTAGCAACAGTAGCTACTACATATGTAGTAGTAGCTACGGGCCCCGCACTTTAAAGGGCCCTGCGCTAAATGCTTTCAATCTATTAATTCCGCTTCAGTGATTCTGCACTTGCTCTATCACTATAGTACTACACCGCCTTCAACTTTTATGAACGACTAGGTGTTTAAGGTTAGCGATTTGTCATTATATGGTTGTATAGCAAGTGAAAAAATACAATTACTTTACTATGCAAGTAAAAATTTAGTGTTTTACTATTTACGTGTTTTTTTTTTATTTAGGGCCCGTTTATAACATCATGCTACAGGCCCCGCACTAGCTTCACCAGGGCGCCATCAAGGTAACGTGCCACGGCCCTATCCTACGGTCTCTCTTGTGCACGTGCGTATGTTGAACTTCGCTCGCATCGTACGTAGCCAACCATGCTAATGGGAGGCGAGTGTGAAGGACTACAAACTGGGTCTACGTGCGAGTCCATGGGTCTCTGTGTGAGTGTCTATGGGTCTCTATGCGAGTCTGTGTGTGTGTTATGTTGAACTTCTTTCGCACCGTACGTAGCCAACCATGCTAATGGGAGGTGCGGCTTTTGTGACCGCGTATCCAAGTGGAACACTTAACGCACTGGCCCAAAAAGATACACACCCCATTCGATAAACACGCGCCTGCTAACCCGCCTGTGTCTAATGTCGACCGCACACGGGGGGATGCTGAAGCAGCTGCATCGTTCCGCCTGCAGTGCCGCTTTTGAGATTATTTGAGAGTTATTCGGCTGCTATACGTGTGCACGTGACGGATAAGCCACTTCTCGCCGAGGCTACCATTTGTGGCCAGGTCACTTCTGAGAGAGAGCGACGCAGCCCGGTGGACTTTACCTGGTAAAATAAAAATAAGTGTTTCGTTGTATTTGTGTATATATTTGTTTCGTGATTTGTTTGCCTTTCCCATACTTTGCAGTCCTATCGCGTTGTTGTGTTGTTTAATGTTGTAACGCATCTGATCCGCGCCCCGACTGGACATCCGTGCAAAAGAGCTTTACAGCTCATCGGATTCCTCCGGTATGAACAAATATTCAGATTCCGAACCGTTCCAAGTTTCTATTCGTGCAAACAAGGCAAGGTGCAGCCCTGCAACGGCTTGCTGGCGGAAGGGCCTCCCCCCAACTCTATAGCTCTCAGAAAGTGGGAGCTTGGCCTACTCCTCCACGCTCGCCCGAACGAGGTGGCGGCGGCGGCACCCGCACTTTGCCGCCACCATATCCGCAGCCTGTCGTCGGAGTAACCGTGGCGTGCGCGTTTAGATTATTAAGCACCGATTGTTCACGCTATCGTCGACGGCCGTAGGGGCCGGCGACAACGAATTTATCCAGGAGGCGATTATTAAAATCGTTTTTTTCTCCACATTATCCGCGAAATGTTCACGGGTAAGGAGGAGATCATCGGCGAATTCACCACGGACGAACGGGAGCCCTGCATTTGTAGAGTTTTGCAAGAACAGCAAAAATCTCCCGAATTGCCGTGGAGCCGATCTCCTACAATTATTTCAGCGTCTGCAAGGCCGCACCTCCGATTAGCGCGGTCGGTTGGCGACCTACGGTGCGGAAGAAGGTCAACATACGTACAAACATAACTCTCAACCTTGACTGTGCCACATCTGCGGACAAACAAGCAAACCCGTGCACTACGGTAGCCTTACCAGCAGGGTTCAGTGTTTTGCCACCGTAACGGCCACTTAAACCGAGGTAAATTGCTTCACCCATCCCTCTTCAGTGTTCTCAGAACCAAGAGTTTATTTCGAAACTCAAGACATTTTTTTTTCTACTTCACCAGATTAAGGCCCCCCCTTACTGAGTCCTGTGTGTCGCTCTTTTTCAGAAGCGACCTGGCAATCACAAATGATAGCTCAGCCAAGTGGCTTATCGCGTGGAAATTTACAGCGGCCAAATACTATAGAGGCACGTGATGTTGATTCTCAGAGAAAAAATCCACACGGCCACGGGGAGAGCACGCCAACTCCAAATATACAGCAGCAGCAGCAGGTGTCAGGGTCGGGATCGAACCCACGACCTCCTGTATACCAGGCGAGGTAGTCAACATCTCGCCACCATGGCACCCCGGTACTTATCACTTTCCTTTCTGGTATCAATTCTCGAAATGTGTCCAAACCATAGCAAACGTATTATCTTACATTGTCACCAACACTCAGCAATTTTTGGACCAGTTGTTTTTGAACAGTTTAAAAAATAGATTATGCGTGTGTGTGTGTGTGTACGTGTGAAGCTACGGTACATAGAGATTGCGTGAAATACTGACAGCATTTCCCAGTAAACGTGCAAACGTCCGGCCAACGTTGGCACTCGGTCGCATCGGCTGGTGCAATGTCGCCTACTTGTTAATCGGGGGGGGGGGGGGGGGGGGGGGGGGGGTGGGTGGGAACTTGCACAAAACCTCTCCCCCTCCCGCCCCACCCCAACACCAAATCCTTTTAACAATTCTTTTATCGCTTGGCACTGGTCAAAAATATCTCTCGCTTATCAGAGGCTAAAGAGAGCGCACTTTGTTAAATATTGGCACGGAGAAAACGTGATGTGCTTTCTTTTCTATCGCTCAACGAATGGCTCCTGAGAGCCGAGCAGGTTGAGCGAACGACTCAAGCCACGGAGAGGCGGCAGCGACGCGGTGAGCCAGCGCCAACAACTTCAACCCGCTCCAAGCTCTGCAGCCCTCTACGCTGGGGTGCTTTAAAAAATAAAATGTGAACACTTCTGAGAATTTGCAACGACACCACGAGAAATGTGCCTCGGGCTCTGGAGACCGCCTGGAGGAAATTCCAGGCGTGTGTTGACAATGATGGCGAACAAGTGGGAGACTCTTTGACTTTTTTAAACATAACATTTGTCATCATGTTCCAGTGTATTATCCGTTCTTTTCCCATTAAAAAACGATAGCCCCATGTAAGTGTTAACATTTTTTTTTTTACGCAACCTGTACATTTGAGTTTCTTTCGTGCCAATCGACGAGCGCTTCCGTGTGGGAGGAAACCGGAGCACCCGGGAGTAAACCCACACGCGTGCGAGGGGGAAACACTCTATCCCGTACGGATGGAACAGGTTGCAGTCCGCAATTGCCGTACCGCCGCCTCCTGGCGAGTCAAGATATGGCACCTCATCGACGCACTTGTGCGATCTGCCAACCCCCGCGCTGCCTCCGCTGTGCTGGATTACAGGCCACGTGCATAGCCACCACTACTGAGCCTTCACCATCATCACCACCACCGTCGTCGTCGGCCGTGATCAATCCACCGCTGAATGAAGGCCTCCCCCCCAAGCCATCGCCATTCCCTCGCAGTTCGAAACGATGATCGAAATTCCACATTCCCCGACCGGGGCGCCGACCCCTTGCCGTGGGGACGACCGCTTCTACCCACGTCGATGAGGATTATTTTAGCCGCTCCACTCTGGCTCGTGAACGCTCCTCCTGCGGGCGTGACTCGACTCTAGATGGCACGTTGAGCCCGCGCAATCTTTGCTCCAGATACGAAATCGCCGTTTTCTTTAGCTTTAAAAAATAAAAAATAAAAACGTCCCGACACGATTCGTGGCGTTAGGCATCCATGGTACCTTTGCATCGCAAATCCACCGCCGGACGAGGGGGGCAAACTTGACCATACTTTGCCACGCGTGGGCCGTGCACTGGCGGGTATATGGAGGCAGGGAGTGTAAATGTGCGAGTGTACGAGTACAGTACAGCAACGTATTTGTTGGTTTTTGTTTCCGCGCTGCCCACGATGCTCTGCCGTGCGTGGCGGTCACCCCGCACCGAGCGCTCACCAGGCCCAAGCGGGGATCTGTCGAGACCGGGGGGGCGCATTGCGGGCGGCTTGGCCAAAAGGCCAATGAAAAATAGCGAATGTAAATTGTGAAAAGTAAAAATTGTGAAAATCGATTGTAATATTTCACGTCCCAAATTTCAATTTAGAAGAAGAAAAAAAAAAACCCCTCTAACGAATTCGCCGACGTGTTCATCCACCGCCGGCGGTCTGTACATCTGGATTCTGCGCTCCGCTCGCTACGGTAATGTCACAGGCAGAAGCGACGGGACAAGGCGATGAGGTAGACAGCACGTGGGTTGGGTTGCCATCTGTCCTGGTATTCCTAAGGATTAACCTTATCTTATCTTAAAATAACTTACATGGCTCCTTGTTCAAGGCCCTTTACAAATAATTACCAATGGTATGACGTATGAATGTGAGATGAGGTGTGAATGAAATAGATGAGAGGAAGCAATGGGGGGTGGGGGGAGGGGGGCAAATCCGTGATGATGCATGAATTCGGTGAAAGCGAAATTGATGACGAATGGATTGCATTCATGAATGGGGTTAAATGAGTGAAAGCCGTGTAATGAGAATATGAAGAGGGAACAGTGCCGGTGGTGGTTATGACGTGGAGATTAAGGGGAGCTAGGGAACAACGCGTGCGAGTTGTGAGCGAGGAGCGGAAGCTTCGTGAGCAAAGGTGGCCGCTTAATGCGGAGGGGGGAAGATTGTTCGGGCGAAGGGGGGCGCAGGAGTCGAGAGAGCGAGAGGGACAGGGTGGATTGAGCGTGAGGAGGAAGGAGGATAGTTAAGCTGCTGTCATGGGGAAATCTGTAAGGCTTCCGCGGAAGATTCAAACATTTGTTTTTTGCCAGCTGCACGAATTTCTCCCCCATCCCCCCCCGCCCCGCCCCGCATTATTTGCGAACAGCGCGGACGTGCAAACGCGCTGCGCGATATTTTTTTTTCCCGTTAGGATTCAGAGGCGCGGGGAAAACCCACAGACAAGCGAGAAGCCGGCCGGAAGCGGGCCCCCCCCCCCCACAGCAATGCGCCGAAGCTCCGCGGGCCTGCACGGTGGCCACGTTTGAGCCAACCGCACGAGTCGGGGTGCCTACGACCGCCCCGGTGTTTGTTCTGCAGGTCAGAGGTCAAAGGCGGCAACCCTCCACCAGCACGAGCCCACGGGTCCGGGCGGCCCTTGCACCAGCGCGGCGGTCGACGTACAACCAACCCCATCAGTCTGGAGCAATCGCAAGGGCGGCCTCTCCTACACCCTCGTAACAAACACCGCCACGGCAAACCGCCACGTATGACTTTTACTTATCGGTAACGTTTGCCGAGTCGTTCAAAGAGTTGTGTTGGGGGGGGTGGGGGGGGTGGGGGGGGTTTACACGATAGCCAAATCTCTGCTGGGGTTCGCCTCCCGTTTCGGGCAGAGACCATGAAATAAAATACAAAATATACATTTACCGATCTCATCATCATCATCATAATACATAGGATTGCACCTTGACGAGGTTATTCCAATCTGAACAACGTCGATTCAAAAAACGCCCTTCTCCAGAACTTCACGGCGGCGTCCATTCGTCATCTTCGTCGTCATCAATCAGCGATGGAGAACCTCCCCAACAGCCAATCAGCCGCCGCCAACTCTCGCGACCCCCGTGATGTCACGGGCCGCGGGAAAACGGCGCAGTCGACCCCACGTGTCCGACTGAACCGGACAGCCCTGCGGCTGTCGAAGCAGTGATAACCCTTACGTTATATATATTTATATATATACTAACACACACGCAACGCGCCACGTCAATTGCAAATGTCCGCCCCAAAACCATCGCAACTTTTCAAAGTCGCCGCCTTGTGACGATCGCAGTCATAGCAGCAGCAGCAGACGCGGCAGTAGCAGCAGCAGCACCGGCAGTAGTCGGGGTGCATTCATTTTTAAAACCGTGGAGAGAGAAAGAGATGAACGGCACACACATTTCATGCTTTAAAGCCGACGGGGATTCTCCCCTGCTGCATTTTTCTTGCGGCGCCGTGCGACGAACCGGCCGCGTGCCACGTGAAACGTCGCACGCGTTACAGGCGGTCGCACGGCGTCGTGTGACCTCGCGAAGGCCGGTCACGTGACCGCTCGTCCGTGCCTCTCATCCCCGGGACACTCTCTCTCTTGTCTCTCTCTCTCTCTCTCTTCGGCGAGAGCCAAGCGCAGGCCGGTACTCCGTCCCGCGTCTGCACGCGCACAAACGGCCCATCGCCTCCGCCAACTGACATTATCCAGCGGCGGTTGTTTTTGAGCGTAAAACTCTGCACTGGTTTGCGACCCTTCTTGGGTCTCATCAGCAGGGCATGAGCTTGTTGAACGAATGCTGCCGGGTTACCGGGCTTTGTTTGGCGAGAAAGGCCACCCCATTCTGAACATATTGTCGTCATCTCGCTGTCACCCTAAATCAATATTTGCCTTTTGCCCACAGCTCTCTTACACCTCCATCTCCACATGGCGACCTCTGTATCTCGAACCTACAGCTCTGCCCCGTGTCGCCATCCCTCATTCATGTCCACCATGTCGCTTCGCCTCTATATTTACGCCACGATGAGGCAACGCCATTCTCTATCAGTGGCGGTGACGCGGTGACGGTGGAGGCCCCATCTGGGTGGGCCACGCCACGACCCTCCGTCGCTGCCCCCACGCATCCGGGCTCAGGCCGACGGCACCGCGTTGCCTTGCGGCGGCGGCCCGGCGCCGCCGCCGTTGTTGCCGCCGTTCTGGCCGTCGCCGGCGGCGGCTGGTGGTGGGGTGGAGTCCGGGACCTGGCTCAGCAGCTCCTGCAGCTGCTCGGGATTGGCGAGGCCGCGCAGCGCCTGGTTCTCCTGCTCCAGCTGGCTGTTCTTCTCCACGAGCTCCTTGATCTGCTCGCGGAGGATCTCCACCTCCTCGCGTACCGCGAACATCAGGTGCGACTTCACCAGGTCCTGCCGGAACACGGTGGGGGGGGGGGAGGGGGGGGATGTGACGTCAGAATCTCGCCACCGCCTGGGTGGCCGGCGGAGGGGAGATGTAAAAAAATGTTTGTGATGGTTTGGACAGATATCGAGTATGGATACCGGTAAGAATAGCGCGTATGGTAATGCGTACCGGGGTGCTGCGGTGGCTAGGAGATGTTAACTACCTCGCCCAGTATACAGGAGGCCGTGGGTTCGATTCCGACCCTGATGCCTGGTGGCGTGGATTTTTCTTCGGGTCCTCCGATTTTTCCCCTCCACATTTAGAATCAGCGTGCCTCTATGGTATTTGGCTGCTGTAAATTTCCACACGATGATAAGTCGCTACGTTGAGCTACCAATTGTGATGGCCAGGTCGCGTCTGAAAAAAATGCTAGGTAGCTCAGTGGGCATTACCTGCCAAAATAACAAAAACATTTTTTTTTATAGTTTTAGTTTTTGTAGACGGTTGAGGTGCTTCGAGTTGTTCCGTATCGGCGCATTATTTTTGCCGCACATTTTCCTCTCAGTTTGCATTCTTTTGGGCGAATCTCATTACGGTCGAATTGTGTGTGTTTGCCTCACCGAGTCACAGGGTTCCACTTACCATCGCTTGCTCGATCTTGTTGTCAATAGCGACCATGCTGGTTCCGGGGGAGCTGAGACACATGGCAAAGAGAAGAAAACAAATAAACAGTCACCTAAGCGACGTGAATATCTGGGCGTTGACGCGGATATGTGGGCTTCGATGTGGATACCTGGGCGATGATGTGGCGATGATGTGGATATCTGGGTGATGATGTGGATATCTGGGCAATGATGTGGATATCTGGGCAATGATGGGGATATCTGGCCAATGATGTCGATATATGGGCAATTATTTGGGGTTGATGTGGCTATCTGGGCGATGATGTGGATATCTGGGCGATGATGCGGATATCTGAGAGATGATGTGGCGATGATGTGGATATCTGGGTGATGATGTGGAAATCTGGCGAAGGATGTGCCGATGATTTGGATAACTGGGCGATCCTGTGGCTATCTGGGCGGCAATGCGGATACGTGGGCGATACGGATATCCGGACGATGCGGATGCGGTAATGTTCATTAGTTGACAGTCAAATGGACTTTTCAGTATGAATGTATGTACGCTGGCCGAAATTGTTTTGCATCGTACGTAGCCACCCGTGCTAATCGGAGGTGTGGGGGAAGGACAACAAACTTAACACAAAAAGCGCAGTTTTTGATTCTCAGAGATGTCATTTAGACAATTTAAGTGCAGCACAAAATGTAATGCGATGGGTTTTTGTTGTTGTTGTTGTTGGGCGGTCAGTGTTGACAAATGACTGGAGTTGAGAACCCGGTTTAATTTTAACTCGGTCTGCGTGAGTCTACGGGGACTCTGGGTGAGTTTATGGGTCTATGCGAGTCACTGGGGGCCAGGTTTAAGACCATCAACTCACTAGAACACGGTTTAATCACAGGCAGCTGCCTGGATTCGAACCCAGGATGCCCTCCCCCCCCCCAGCAAGTCGATAGTCCGATTCACAGTGGACCTCAAAAGACCCTGTGAGATTATTCCTAGAGTAGAGTAAGGCCACAGAGTGCTGCAGCCAGGCGCTGAATTTGCCAAATTTGATAGATGACTCGCGAGTTGCTTTAATTGGGAAAAGCCACGAAGCAAATTTAGCTCCGACAGGTAGACATACGCTCACTTTAGCATGCTTGGCACCTCCGATCAGTGCAATGGGCTACGTACGATGCGAACGAAGTTCAACGTACGTACAGTCCCTCATAATGCTGGCTCGGCAGTCTGAACCACCTCTGCGTGTTTGCGTGCGTGCGTGCGTTTTATAGCTTTGGATAACCTTCGATTGGATGCGTTTCACCACACTTTGACCAGAGTGCTCAGCGCGGGACTTTGTTCTCGGCCAAAAAAAGCAAACCTCGCGACAGTGTCAAAGCCGCGTCCCGTAGAGTCATTCAACCGTTCCCGTAACAAGCCGGGGAAGGAATGCGGAACCGAGACTTCGTCTTCAAGGCCACGCAATGCCACGAACAAATTCCACGGACGCAAAAAAATAGATTACTAAAAAAAAAGGAGAGCCGTATTTACGTACATTTTTAAGGCAAGAGCTAAAGTGTCGCGAGAAACATTGCTCAATGACGGCACGGGCTGGATACACGCCACTCCTTGCATAAGCACGGTTCTGAAACGGATGAGCTTGCGTCGGTCGCGTAACAAAACGTCTCGCGGCCCCCCCCTCCCTCCCCCGCCCCCCCCCCCCCCCATCATCGGCAGCTGTCGCTGTGCGGCACAAGGTGACTGAAGGCCTGGCTCGGCGAGGGGCGAGGGATGCTGCTGCCCACATATTAAAGTCACGTGTGAGAGATTCCGCTCATGAATCAACTTTGGCGTCATTCTAAAAGAGAATGACGCCAGAGCTGAACCCTCTGCACGCGGTGCCATAAACGCCGGCCATCATTTATCCACTGCTGGATGAAGGCCTCCTCCCCCCCACCTCCCCTCCTCCCCCCCCCCCCTCCCCTCCTCCCCCCCCCCCCGGACGTTCTCTCGGATCGCTGCTCGGAACGGCAACTTCCAGTCAGGTAAGCGGCAGGGGTCACGTGACCAGGTCGCGGAGCGCTCGTGGGGTACAGAGTGGCTACTGTCCACGTCTCGCAAGGCCTTTTCGGCCAGCGCGGAAGAGCAGGCCAAAAACGCCCGTCCACTTGGGTGAAAATCAGCGCGGGTTCAGAGCAGGGAGCGCGTGTAACATTCTACCGAGGCAGCTGACGTGAAATATAAATGGTCCGGGAGTTTGTGGAGGGGCTTTTGATTTGGTACGACAGGATGCCGTATTTGCCGGGGGTAAAGTGCGGGCGCTGCCGCCTCGTCCGGCCGGCGTGGAAGGGTGAGGCCCAAGCGCCCCTTTCCGAGGGCTATCGAGTTGTGGGACCCTTCCGGCAGCAGTGGCGTTTAGCAGGCAATTGCAGGGGGCTGCGCCTTTTGCCTTAAAATTCGCGCTCGTGTGCCCCACCCCCCCCCACCCCACCCCACCCCACCCCCTCTCCGCCACGCCAAGCAAAGGTGACGCCAGCGGAGGCTTCGGTGTGCCGGGCAGCGCGCGGCTTGTGACACCGCCGCACGGGGTAGTGACCGCAGCGGTGCCAAGCACCGTCGCAGCTCTCGAGTTTCGACATCGAACGGAGATCTCCGGCGTTGCTGCAAATGGCCAAACAAGAATCGGCTAACCCGATGCCGTTTCTTTTTTCTTCTGCCCACCCCACCCCCCCCCCCCCCCCCTCACATCCCCTCCCACCGCTACGTGCGCTCCTGAAGCAGGAGCTGCCGGCACGTGGTGCGAAACGTCGGACACCGCTCCGAACAACGCGTAAAAGTGTCACGACCCCAAACCGCGACGGAAGTCGGTGCTCGGCTTCGATCGCGCCAAGCAATGGCGCCACATTGGGTCCCGTCGCGCTCCTCCGGCCGCGACGCGGGCGAATGTGAACGGAGCTCGCCGGCAGGCTTTCTCGAACAGCAGACCGGGAAGTCGCCAATTCTCTTCGCGATGCCTTGAAAATGACAAATCCGAGCGAAATTCTGCGGCGCGATCGATTCGGTTTCACTTCTTCCAAAATTTGCCACGCGCGTGCCGCAAAACGGCGACCGCGGCACCGGCACGCGCACGGCCCAAACTCTTTCGCGACAGAGAAGGCCCCATACACATCTCAAGAACGTGACGTGACGTGCGGCTGCTGGGCGTTCGTCCTTCCTGGTTTCGTGGTTTCCTCTTTAACCACTGAGGAGCTATACCCCCCCCCCCCCCGCGCTGTCTTTTTCACCCCCCTGTCTCCCGCGCCCCCCTCCCCCCGATCCGTCCCAGCTCATTGCAGACTCCGTATAGGAGGGGGGAACCACCTGGCCTAGAACTCCTTCTCTTTTCCCCTTAAGGGGACGGCTCGAGAATGTTCCATGCGCCCGCGTGCGCTAGGAGTGTACGATGCCCCTCTGTTTCCATGAAGGGGGGGGGGGGCTCATCTTGATCCTTCCAAGTCGACCAGTGCAGTCTTTCTGGCAACGGTGTTAAAGGTCTGCAAGTGGGGCATGTCGATGTCTCGTTTGCCGTGCAAAGTTTTTACACTATTAAATACTGAACAATAAATTGCCCGCCAGACGGCGGTCGTTGCATTTCTTCTCGATGAACAAAAATCGAAACGGACGATGAAGTTCCCTCCGTCGAAAGATAGCCAAGAATAAGTACTGCAAATAAATAAATAAAAACATTCACACGATAACACCATTTTCACACATTTCGCAGATTCCTCTACAGACATCACATGGCCACTATAAATTCCACACCAGGAATGACGTTTGCCTGCAACTCGCCCTCCCCAACTCTCTGTGGTCCCAATGCCTAAACAAAATCCTCGGCTCACCATCATCACCATCGTCGTCGTCGTCAAATCAGTCATGATCAATCCGCTGCTGGATGAAGACCACCCCAAGCGATCGCCATCAGTCATGATCCATCCACTGCCGGATGAAGGCCTCCTCCCAATTCCACTCACGGACGAAGGCCTTCCCACATCGTCAGTCGTGGGTGCCGTTTGACCATACTTCGCCACACTGGTCAAGTATTGGCTGGTGAATCATACCACGGGATGTTAGCCACGCCAGCAATTCAACTCACATCGCCAGGCTCAAAGCGCAGTGCGCTGACCGCTGTCCCACCGTTCGAACCATTTTGTGCAGCTTATATATTCCCCCCACCCCACCCCAGACCGTGACGGCCACGGCGCTTGCTTGACCATACTTCGCCACTCCAGCCAAGTGCCGAGTTTGTCTAATGCAGAACTCTCCACTCATTTCCAGAGGGGGGGGGGGGGGGGGGGGGGGTCCCACTCCCGTCGATAAGACGCCGGCAGTGCGCGCGAGGGCCGCGACGCATTTGAAGCCATTGGGGTTTGGCAGCGGCACGACGGCGATGGGATGAGTCGGGGGCCGCTAACGAAGGACCACCACGGGGCCGCCCGGTGGCCCGCGGGCCTTGCAACGAAGAACACTGATCCAACGGGACGCGGGGGGGGGGGCGGGGGGGAGGACGAGAGGGAGGGGGGGGGGGACCAAGAGTTCGGAGGTCACGACCGCCACTGACCCGAGCCGTGGCAGGGGACTGAACCCGGGAGTCGCCGGCCGGCAGCCCAAATCACCAAGCGGCCCGCCCGGTCGCTCCACGACATCGCGCGGAGGCTTTTCTCGGGGGCCCGAAATAGCAACACAGGCAGGAGGAGGAGAAGGCACGAAGCCGCAAATTAACCCCCGAGTGACGGGCGGAGGTGGACAGATACCAAAGCGACGCAAACCCCGCTGCGCTCAGAGATACAGTAGAGTGCGGCACAGTGCAGGGTGCAGTACGGTCGTGTATAGTCAACTGTTCTGGACTGTGTATATATTTACACCGACTGGGTAGGTGACACGCGCGACCGCCCTGTGTTCTCGGGTTGCCAACTCCGGACTGCTGAAGCTATTCCGAGAGAATTCTTTTTTTTGGTTGTCATTCTTCTTATTATTATTATTACGATTATTAATTAATTTTCTTAAAATATCCTGTTGTCGTCGTTACAATCTCACCGATTTGCTTTCGATGGTAAC